AAGAAAGTGCAGTGCTGGAGGGGGGAGGTACTGGCAGAACTGGGTGCGAATTCAGAAAAAGGGAGTGAAGAAAACCCCGACAGATGGAGGCAGGTGTGCATGTGGAACAGAGAATATGGGCAAATGTGTCCATGGAAGAGGAATGGAGGGGATTGTTTACATATACTGTATATGTATGTGAGAGTTAATGCAGATGTATATGCGTGGAGTCTTTAGATGCAATTATGGTGATTGAATGGTGGTGCAAAAAGTAACTGGAGACGGTAAAAAAAGTAAGGTTGGTAAAATAAACTAGAGGGATTGGAACGTGAACAAGGAAGAGAAGGAATAAAAACCCCAAACAATCCTTCGTATAGAGCTATAGAAATGTCACTTGAAACCAATCTCACCAACACACTTTAAAGGGGGGGGAGGGTTGTGCAGTGCAATTAATTTGAAAAGGGATTTCATAGCTCGCGCCAACCACTGTTTAGAACCCCTTTCATCCACCAGGCACGAAAAGGACGCACCGCACAACGACATGCTCCGGAGCTCCCGCCTGCCTCGTGCGCATCCAAACTCCTGTCCAAAATGAAAATGGCTCTCCACGCGTCACTTACCCGAAAGCGGGCGGAAACAGCCGAGGTCGCGGCTCCACCCCAGCCTGGCCGGAGCCATGGCAAGGCTTTCTCTTCGCAGTTTGTAACGCCAATGCATAAGCTCGCGCCACCATCCTAGCACCCCTCCCAGCGCCTGCCGATGGATCTGCGTAGCCTCGCCTCAGCCCAGCCCCCAAAAGGGGCGGGCAACGGAGGCTGCAAGCAAACAAGCAACAAATGGGACTTATCCCTTTTTAGCGACAAAGACTATTAGCACGGCGTTGGCTTTAGGCTATTGGTATGCAGGGGTCAGCGTCACGTTAGAAAGCTACCGAGGGCCCACATGTGATCAATCGTTGGCCAGCAACTATTGAGGGTCCACGGCCGGTGGGAGGTTGGGGCCAGACCGCAGCAACATCGCATATCCCTCAAGCTTGGAAAGCAAATGACATTTGCTTTTCTCCTGAAAAACTCAAAGATGTGCAGAAATTAAGGAGTAATTCTGCTGCTAGGCACAGGTGCTCTCATGAGCAAGGGGTGTCTCCTGCCTGTCTGGATCATCCTCCCTCTCTATTTGTGGGCGCACATATTTGGAGTTTGTTGCCCAGAGATAGGCAGAGTGGGTGGGTTCACACAGACAAAATCGCTAAAGGATTAAAAGCGCACCTGTGGGGACACACTGCAGGGTGGTTGTAGTGACCATGAGGTCTTGCCTCCATCCTCCCATGGAAGCACATGTAGAAGCCTTTCTTGCAGAGCAGTAACTCATTCCAGTCAGCTTTTTTGTACATGGAGAGGTCATTCATTCATTTATATGCCACCTTTTTCTAAAGGTAAAGGGACCCCTGACCGTTAGGTCCAGTCGCGGATGAGTCTGAGGTTGCGGCGCTCATCTCACTTTATTGGCTTAGGGAGCCGGCGTACAGCTTCCGGGTCATGTGGCCAGCATGACTAAGCCGCTTCTGGTGAACCAGAGCAGTGCACTGAAATGCCGTTTACCTTCCCGCCGGAGCGGTCCCTATTTATCTACTTGCACTTCGTGCTTTCGAACTGCTAGGTTGGCAGGAGCAGGGACCGAGCAACGGGAGCTCGCCCCGTCGCGGGGATTCGAACCGCCGACCTTCTGATCAGCAAGCCCTAGGCTCTGTGGTTTAACCCACAGCGCCACCCACATCGCTCTTCCCCACCATTTTATCCTCACAACAACCCAATGAGGTAGGTTAGGCTGAGAGATAGTAACAGGCATAAGGTCACCCAGTGAGTAGGGATTTGAACCCTGGTCATAGTCCAGCACTCTGACCATTACACCACACTGGTTCTTTGCCTTAGCCAACAAAATGTCTTGGGCTGGCCCTGAAAAAGCTGATGCTACTGTTTCCAATATTTTGCCCATCTTTTCCCTATAGGACACAACCCCTGCTCTCACATTTCCTTTTCTGGCAGTCTGATGACTAGGCTTAGCACCACCACCAAATGCACAGCAGGAGGGTGGGCTGGCTTTTAACTAATACCATCTCTTTCTGAATGTCTTGTGTGAACCAGCAGGCACTGGCTGTGCTTTGTTTATCTTTTCTCTTATGCACCCATTCCCTGAGGGCCCAATAGCACTGCTCAGAGGGAACTGGTTACTTCTGGTTACTTGCTTGCTTAGTCCCTCTCCCTCTCCTCTTCCTCTCCCTCCCTCCCTCCAAGGTGCAATAGATCCACCACCTTGGCATCCAAGAGAGAGTGTAGTTATGGAAGCCAGCAGAAGCAGCTACTTGTGTAAGAAGCAGCCACTTCCCCCTTGCACTCAGGGAAGCAGGGCTTTTAATCTACTTTGAGGTTTTCTTTAATTGAAGGGTTTTCATCATGCTCCCTCTCATGGAAAAGAATAGAATAGCACTCATAATATTTACTTTTATTTGTTTATAAAAAATATGTCATAAAAAAATCAAAGCCATTTACAGCAATAAAACACTAAACCGTACTATAAAAACAGACATCAATTAACCATTGTGGAAATATGCATTCTTAATTGCATGTGTAAGCCCGGCAAAATAGAAAAGTTTTCAGCAGGGATTTAAAAGTTGGCACAGAAGGCGCCTGCTAATAGGCAAAAATCTCCCACAAATTTCGAAAACAGTGTGAACAGCATAGGTGACCTCAAATATTTGCCTGCAGGGATGTGTGAGGACTGGGTGTAACAGGATCAGTGCCAGCTGTGCCTCTGGGGCTGATGGATTGCAGACAGGCAGGTGTTGTCTTTTGTGTGATGATGCGTGGATGTGTATTTGGTGCATGTCCCTATTATTAGTTGACTAGGTATGAGGCTGCTGCAGATCTCTACTCACTGGATGATGTTGGGGCAGATCACTTTTTCTCAATCTTTATCTAGCTAAATGGGTTGTTCTGAGAATAAAATGAGAACAGGAGAGCCATGTATGCTGCCTTGAACTGCTTGGAGGAAAATGGGATAGAAATACTTAAAATAGTAATCTAGTCTTCACAGTCAGAGTGCATGAAGGGCCATTTGTTCAACCCTTGAGATGCAAAGTTCCATTTAGACTAGAGCAGGTCTCTCTATCTGGTCCTCCAAACACACCCCTTACTGCTCCTGCTTTGCACTGCGAGTATTTTTGCCCAGATGGTTTGTCTCTTCGAATGCTTGTGGTCTGAACAGGAAAACAGGGTTTGGAATGTGTATAAAAACTAGCCTACTTGTACAAAGGTACAATTTACATTTACACTGGCATATGCCCCTCTGAAAGTTCTCTGGAAAGAAATGCAGCGCTTGGGTTGAAAAAAGGTTTCCCACCTCTAGTTTAAAGATTTTACTCTGGCATACTAATATAGAACCAGACTGGTAGCCTCTTCATATGGATCAATAGAAGTTACCCTTGTATGTACGGTAATTATATTTACATTTTTGGTGTGTCTGAAATTTGTGCATTTAGGACAAAAAAAATTGATTCCAGACAAATATACTGTCTTGCTGTTTATGCAGTTTGCACTTATTTTACCTTTCCCTGCCTTCATCTTCCCTGCCACCACTTCCTTTTTTTAAAAAAAGGTTTATTTAAAATACTTAAACCTCGCTTCTCCTGTTTCTCTCCAGCAGTACTGCATATGTGTTGTTGATACGGAAGCTGCTTTTCTGCATGCACATGAACACACACACACCAACAGAGAAAGCTTATTTATGTCTGCAGTACAATATTCCCTAAGTACCAGCAAAAAAGGGGGAAAGAACTGATGTTCTGCAAAATCATTATGAACTCTTGTAACATGATCGCTAGTTTGTTTGGTGTGATTAATGTGACCTTTGGTTCTTGCGTATCACGTGGTAGTAAAGCAGTAAACCGGGAGAATCAGCACATCTGGAGAAAGTTATTGAAGTGCTTTCAATTTTCCCTATCCCCATTGCATTACATCATCTGATTTTTATTTTGATATATTAGTACATTCTTGCATCTTTTCCCATTTATTTCCAGTCACTGCATATTCATAAATCTTAGCAGATTTGACATTCAGGTAGAATGCGCCAACATGTTTTTGTAAAAAAAATTAAGGGTTATACTAGTTAATACAAGATGTCACCACTACATACATCTTTGCTGTTTCTTATAACATCTGATACAAAGTGTGATGTGAAGCCATTGTGTTAGGTATCTCCCATTCTCAGGAATCAATGGCAAGCAGCTTGTGAGACATGCCCAATACCGTATTTTCATGGCACAAATTGTTTGCATTTGACATGGACTTGCAGCATCTCTGTGCCTCTTATGTCTAGTTTGTCTCTGAATTCTGTGAGATCTTGCATTTTCATCACTACCAATACTGTAAATGTGTATTCTTACCAATGTTCTTTTATTATTTGCATATTATAAGGCCCAATTACCGTATTTTTCCATTCATTATCAACTGTTCATACTGTAGCTTTAAAACAAATGTAAAGGCCCAATCTTGCAGGACCTTTTTCCCCCTACGTGACTCATGCCAGCAAGGCAACCTCACTAACACTAACTGCCTCCTCCGGCCAAGATTTGTCCTCTCCTTGCTATTGTAAGCTGCTTTGAACATATATATTTTTAATCAAAAGGCGGCATACAAATAAACGGTGGCTATTTGACCAGGTATTTGTGGAGCTTTCATCCAATGATTCCAGAGCACTTTTCACGATTCCGATTTCTATCTCTGGCTTCTGTTCCTTCCAGGCTTTGCTAACAAGACGCAATCCTGTTTTCAATGAGCAGCTTTCACTTCCGCCTACGTGAAGAAGGGGGAAATCAAGAAGGAACCAGGAAGTCCCGTCTCCAGGCTCCTGACACTTGTCGCTCGGCTTCCTCGGCCATCAGCGACTGCAAGCAGGGAGCAGAAGGGAAGAAACGCGGGTCGGGAGGCGGGACCGCCATCCTTCCCCGGTTTCCTCCGCCGCGGACCATGGCCGACTCGACCCGGGGTCCTTTTGCCCGGGCCCTTTTGCAGCAGTGCCTGCACGCGAGGCTGCAGGTGAAGCCTGCCGAGCCGGACTCCGAAGCCGAGTGGGTGGAGGTAACGTCTGCACGGGCAGATCTCTCGGGGTTGCCCCGCTTTGATTTCAATAAGGCATCCCCCGACTTGGCGAGCAGAGATCATCGCTTTCTGCTCCTGTCTGCCTGCTCGTCCCTACCCCCACCAAAATAATAATAATAATTAATAATAATAATAATGTTGCCACCGCCGAATTGATCTTCAATTTGCACATCACCCTACTTGCTTCCTAAAATAATCAAGATGTCCCGATGTCAATACGGATTATTGTAATAATCGTGAGGATCCCCCCCACCAAGTGCCGGAAGTACTTCGCTTCCATGGCTTTTTTCCCATCGCTTCCGGCACTCAGGAAAAATCCTGAAACGGAATAGTGGACGTTTTCACGCGTGAAGTTTAAAGCCACGGTTTCTTCTCATATTGCTTAGCATTACAGAGGCGTCTCCCCCTCCCCCCCTCATTTTTCCTTTTTTCGCATGGGGAACGATCGTCATGGAGCGAACTGCCTAGTAACCAAAATATACATTTAACATTTCGGCGAGACTTAATTCTGAGTAGAGATCAGGTTTTTTCACACGTTACACTGAACACAGGTACGAGCTGTCTCTGCACGTGCTCAGGTGCTAGTATGGAAGAGAGCATAATCGTTGGTTGGTGCAGTTCGACTGTAGTGTACACAAGTGCACAGAAAGTACATCTGCTTAATGTAATGTGTGAACACCCCTACTGAAACTTGGGAAGCAGCCCAAACTTTTTCCACTGGTACTCCATGAGTTTCACTCAGGTGGTCCACAGCATGTCTGTAAAAATACAATTACCGGTAGATTCATGTAGCACAGTACTTTACAGTTGCTACTGCAGGCAGAAAAATCAAGTGATTCCTCAGCAATTTTCAGGTTGTGGGGAGCAGGGGACAGAGTTTAGGAACAACCACTGCATTAGTTCATCTAGCAGCTGATTTCCAGAGTTTTGGGCAGGACTCTTTCTTAGGCTGACCTGGAGACACCAGGAATTGAATCTTGCAGTCTACCATTGACCGATAGGCCATGCATATTGTGAAAGCACCTGGAGTAGTGAACATTTGACATCTCAGATTTGACGTATTGGATTCAAATTCATCTCTGACCTACCTTACAGGGTGGTTGCAACACTATAAAAATGAGGATAGTTATCATTATTTTATTAAAATCATATTTACACAGTCCCCCAGATGTTACAGGACATTGTGAAGTGACATTAATATTATTGTTGGCTTATTTTGTTTTTAATTATCTTTTCCTAAGCTCCAGATTAGGCATTATTGTTTCAATACACCTCATGTTTATTCTGAGATCAGCTTATTTGTACTCTGAAGATTGTGACTGGAGATTCAACTGATAGTCGGAGACTAACAATGTATGGAACATGCTTGCTGCTTGGCTGATTTTTGGCTGATTTTGTTTAACAATTTGAATACATTTTGGAAAACCTAAGTATATTTTGAGTGTATATCAGACGTGTATGCCTCAAAATAAACTATGTAACTTTGTATTTATTTGTTCAAGAAACAGAGAAAATAAAACATTCAGTTCTCTATCATGGAAGAAGTTGTTTTTAAAAGTATGATGTCTGAGGCACAAAGAAATATGTATCCCAGATATAAAAATGTTTAATTTTATTTGAGTGTGGTCTTTATGGTACTTTCCACAACTTTCCACTAAAAGAAATCTAGCTTGTGACCTTTTAAGACCTAGATTACCTATTACTTCAGAATCTAGACACGGAAAATAAATTGCTTTTATTTTGCATACAGAAACATTTCAGTTTACATCTACTGAAATGAATGAGTTTTCCAATTAAGGTTTAAATCCTAGACATACTTCCCGGGGAATAAGTCTCATGCATGTCTAGAAGACATGCATAGGATTGTGGTTTCATGCACAATATTAATAGATCTCTTTAATTACAGTAAAAAACGTATGGGTATATGGATGTGTAAATATATTTCTTTGTTATTTTGAATAGATACAGCGAGGACTTATAATCTATGTATGTTTCTTCAAAGGGGCTAGTGAAGAAATTATTCCCAAAATGGGTAGGTGTTTAGATAAAATAGTATTTAAAAACAGCCATTTTAAAACGGCACTAAAATATGCAAATAACTGCAGCTGCATCATTGAGCCTATCATAAAATAGTAATAAGAACTTGTTTCATGAGATTTTTGTAATGAAAAGCTTTGAATCATTAAAAACTGCTCTCCAGGGAAAGTTCTAAGCAAGTATTTCATTCCGAATCGTTCTGCATACAAGTCCGATGTGCTTTTAATTAACTTGTTCTTATTAAGGTTTGCTGTTTAATAAGCTTGTTGATGCAGAGTGCGTTATTAATACAGTGCCATATTTAGCTTAAGGCTTGAGGCAGTATTGAAATGTAGCCTGAATCAGTAACTATGTTTGTTACTTTCTGTCCTCCTTTTCTTTTATACTGCAGTTTCTTTTGAAAATAAAAATTGTTAAGTGGCACACACTCAGTATCAAGCCTTCTCTTTACAGAACACTTGTAGCCAGTGTTGTTCTTTCAAGAAGCAGGTACTGCTGATTCCCTTGTGGCCAAAGACTTCTGGCTTTAGCTCCCACTGCATGAACATGTCAGAAAGGGCTTCACACCTTTGCGCCTTGTTACCTTTTGATCATCTTCTCTTGCAAATGATATGGGTGATGAAGAGCAGCAAAGGGGTTGATTCTTAAAAATTCTTTTCCATTTGTACTTAAGGCGAAGTAGGATTTTAATCATGGGTTATATCCAAAGAAGTCTTGACTGCACAAGGCCTTCTGCTTGCACAATGAATTTTCCCCTCTCTTTGCTCTCCCTACATGCCCCCCAATATGTTCTGTGGGTTCCCCCAGTCCTCCAGAGCAGATTTAGGGTGGTGTGTTGCATGAACCAAGGAAGGGAGATTGAGGAGAAGTTCTACTGCACAAGTACAAGTCCTGGCACTAACAGAACAGTTTGGTTGGATGCAACCCTATGAGCTTGGACTAGTCTTTCCAAATTAGTTAATAACTTGTGTTATTACAAAGTACAATCTTGTGTACTGCAATGCAATGCAGGAGTGAGGACGAACCCAACTTAGATCCCTTCACAGTTATGAAGCTTAGGGACAGACTTATCTCTTAGCATAATCTATGACCCACCAGGTTACCAGGAGAGTGAAATGAAGTGAGAATACATAGCTGTCCCTTTTAAGGCTTCAGAATAAGGGTTCAAAAGAAGTATTTATTCATGGCCCATTACGAGACAGTAAAAAACTATTAAATTAATTGGGCTTAACCCTAATTCGGTTAGAAGTATTTCTACTTGCTCATTTTTCTTGATATATAAATGTATACCAGGTAGCCAGTAGAGGGAGCTAATGTACAGGTAAATGTGCTTCTTCTCCACTATTGTATAAGAGGAAACTGGACATTGGAATTCAGGTACTATCCCTGTTTCACCATGCCTGTGTCTTGACTTTTTTCCTTGTGGGCAGAATTTAACTTGCTGCATTGCTAATGCATAACCACTTCACAAACCTACTAACTGCAATCGTTTTTCCCTTCTCTGTCTTTGCAGTCAATGCGCTCATGAATGTGAAGTTGAGTGAAACGGAAAGCGGCGAATACGTTTCTGTTCTGGATTTGCCAGGCAGCATATTAGTAATACCCCAGGCCACGCTGGGTGGCAAACTGAAGGGGAGAAGAATGCAGTATCATTCCAACATTGAAAAGGAAATCGGGATGGAGCTGTATTCCCAGTTTGTCACTCAGTGCGAACGAGAACTGACTGCAAATACCAAATGTGTAGAGGCTGGGGTTGCTCTCAAGTACGGCACATATGGAAACCGGCAGGTGTTGAAAGTGGATACAAATGGACCTTTCAGTCATATGATTGAGTTTTGAGGAGGGAAAAAGTGATTAATTTTTTTAAGGACATGCATACTGCCTAAGGAATGTTGCACGGTTGTGTTAAGGAATATAGTTCAATGGATTCTAAGCATTTGAGAGCGAGGAAAAGATTTCAGTAAGCCCAGCTAATAAATAATTTAATTCTTTTGAGTTAAATTACCTCAAAATGTCTTCCTCCTTCGTGTATGGGACCTAACCAATCAGTGGTTCTCGTTTTTTGACAAAAAGAGGCCCAGCTGCAGAACTGTCTTTGAATCTATTCTGTAGGTAATGCCACCACTCTCTGTGGGTTGAGGAGTGATGGAACAGGAGATGGCCTTCACTTTGGAGATGCCCAGGTTGTGGCATCGGGTCCATCTTGCACCATCACCAGGTGCTTTTTGACACTGAGTCAAGACGAACTTCATTATCCAGGCCTTTGGCTGAGCAGACGTCCGTCCTTCTCCTACATATTGCTATTCTGCACTGCTGCTTTGCTAGGCCAAGGTAGACTGGGTTCATACCTTTTATTTTATTGTTGATTTTTTGTAACCTGCCCTGGGGCAGTGAAGGATGGGCTAGAAGTACAAATAAATAAATCAATATGTATAGTAATAGCCAGTTCCCAGGATTCTATTTTTGTTGCACTCTAACAGGTTGCACTGTGGGTTAAACCACAGAGCCTAGAACTTGCCGATCAGAAGGTCGCCGGTTCGAATCCCCGCGATGGGGTGAGCTTCCGTTGCTCGGTCCCTGCTCCTGCCAACCTAGCAGTTCGAAAGCACGTCAAGTGCAAGTAGATAAATAGGTACTGCTCTGGCGGGAAGGTAAACAGCGTTTCCGTGCACTGCTTTGGTTTGCCAGAAGTGGCTTAGTCATGCTGGTCACATGACCCAGAAGCTGTATGCCAGCTCCCTCGGCCAATAAAGCGAGATGAGTGCCGCAACCCCAGAGTCGGTCACGACTGGACCTAATGGCCAGGGGTCCCTTTACCTTTAACATGACAAAGAAACAAGATGTGCACCAGAACAAGAGTGAAGGATGAAGAGACATGTTCATGGTCTCTACTTGCTTTCAGCCTGTGCCAATGATTAGGTCATCCTTGAACCAAACTATAGCTCTGTAACTTTTCTATCAGCAGCAGAGCATTACAGGCTTTGAGGAAAGATGCAGCAGTGAAAGGGTGAACAGGCGATCTGTTTTGGATCTTTAGCCTTCCATGCATGAGTCAGCCGGCTGAAGAGATTGGCACTTCTACATCAACATGGGTGAGAAATGGTGGCTGAGGCAATTTAGGGAATGTAATTCTTCCTGCTTTTGGTGATAGCACTTTTTATGCCACCCCCCCAAAAAAAACTACCCCGGCTCCTTTTTTAGGACTTTAAAATTGAACATTCTCCATCATAAATATAGACACTTTGTTAATGGTGAAGAAATTGTACTGAATCTTTGATTTCCAGTGTTTGCGACATTGACCTGTGTGCTGCTTCCACTGTGATACTCTGGGGTGAATCATGTGATCAAGTTACTCTCTTTTACAGAAAAGAAATAATTTCTATTCTGTTCTATTGTAGTGCTTGTTTCTTATTCCAGAGGCATGCATGTTGCTTGATGATGGGCTTCTATATTCCAATATGTAATGAGACAGTAGATGACTAGTTGGCTTCCCACTTGCTTATATTACAGCGTTCTCTTGAAAACCACTTGCAAAATCAAAAAAAGGAAATTCCCTAACGTAGCTTTGATCTGTACATTTTTTACTATTTGACTGCTCTAAATTTCATAGTAGTACATCATGTTCTTTTTAACAATATTTGGATATTGGTCACGATATAACTTCTTAATTCCATACATATTAAAATGTGAATGTAAGGCGCTTAATCAATTGCAGTGTGCTGCATTAGAAAGAGATTACAACATATTTTGGATTACGGACGAGGGGAGGGTGGAATGCTACTGTGGAGACTATAATAATCAGCTTCCCTCATTATTATTTATTAAATCTTTATATCACCCTTCATCTAAAGAAAAGATCATAGGGCAATTCACAACATAAAAACACAAAATACATAATAAAACAAAAACAAACCAATAACCCCCTCCCACAAACACATATAAAAGGACATAGAATGTTAATCGGCCAAAGGCCTGGTTATAATGTTTTCGCCTGGCACCTAAAGATATGTAATGAAGGCGCCAGGCAAGCCTCCCTGGGGAGAGCATTCCACAAATGGGGAGTCTCCGCAGAATCATAAAATCGTAGAGTTGGAAAGGACCCTGAGGATCATCTAGTTCAACCCCTTGCTGTGCAGGAATATGCAGTTGTCCCATACAGGGATTGAACCTGCAACCTTGACATTGTCAGCGCCTTGCTCTAACCAACTGAGAAAAGGCCTCGTGTTGCCGCCCTCTGGACCTCGTGTGGAAGAGGCACACAAAGAAGAGCCTCAGATGATGAGCCCAGGGTCCAGGTTGATGCTTGTCCTTGAGGTATTACGGTCCTGAGCTGTTTAAGGCTATATAGGTCCAAACCAGCACTTTGAATTGGGCCTGGAAAACTAACTGGCAGTCAGTGCAGTTGGGTCAGGATCGGTGTAATACGCTCAAACCATCTTGCACCGTTGAGCGGGTCACCAAATTCTGCACCTGTTGAAGTTTCCAAACCATCTTTAGAAGCAGCTCTACAGATACGAGTGTTGCAACAATCCAATCTAGAGGTTACCAGAACATAGACAATAGAAGTTTGGCTATCCCTGTCTAGCTAGAGGTGCAGCTGAGCCACCAGCTGAAGCTGATGGAAGGCACTCCACCCCACTGAGGCCACCTGAGCCTCAAGCAACAGCAAAGGATCTAGAAGGACATACAAGTACATACAAGCTACATATCTGCACCTTTGGAGGAGTGGAACCCCTTCAAGAGCAGGCAACCTCCCTTCCATCCAGTCTAAGGAGCCACCTACCAAGAGTGCCTTATCTGGATTGAACTTCAGATTGTTGGCTCATTCAGTGCATTAGTAAACGCCATTCTCCACTCATGCATTTAACGGTAAAAAACTCCTTCGTGTTACAGTCAGCTGTCTTAGGTCATTATGAGTAATATTAAGCACAAAGTGAATGAAGCTAGTGACTCAGGTTGTTTCACATTTTTTTGGATAGAGTTCAGTCAACAGTCATCATTACAATGCTTGTGGGGATACTTTGGCCTTGGGAAAAACACTCAGAGCAAACAGTGGGCATTACTGCGCCCACCAAATTTGGAGAAACAAGTTCACCAGCATGAAGGCACTTGTTTCTGACTCTGATGGCAACAAATCTAAATTACTTTTTCAGTTGCCCTCTAGCAGAGCTATTCTGGGTGGTTAAGGTAATGGTCAAACTTGCCTAACAGTCTGCAACATCTGAAGTCTCTGCAGTCTGATGTGACTAGTTTGCAAGGCACTGCAGGAATAAAACCATCAGAAACTCCAATGTGTATTTGTTTACCCAGGCTTACAGGGGATTTGGTTGGCCTGCTAGAGACCCTCAGAGTTGCATTCTGCCTATTTGAGGAATCTCTGGTATTTTACTCATGTTGTGGGTTAAAGTGTGACCACACAGTTGTGAATAGTATACAATTAAAATAAATGACATGGTGCCTGGCACCAAAAATACCTCAATCCACTTTTATGTGGATTTATAAGTAACAGGCAACATCTCTGAGGAAAGCATTCCAGAGGCAGATCATTACAATCAAGAATGACATCTCCCCAACTGCCACCTATTTTAGCTCAGCCAGGGCAACATAGGATCATAGAATGATAGCATTGGAAAGGATCCTAAGGGACACTTTGTCCAAGCCGCTGCAAAGCAGGAATCTTTATGCATGTCCCCCATCCAGTTTGAAACCATACAGGACCCTGCTTAACTTTGCAAATGTGTTAGCAATTTTATTGCTGCACCACTGTAGCATAAAGACAGTCTTTAAGGGACTCCTTCTGGAACCTGGATCCCAAGCTGTAGAGTGCTTTGAAGATAAGCACCAGCACTTTGACCTGTGCCGGCATGGGAAACAAGCCTCAGCCACTTATGGTAAGTTTCAATACTGCCTATAATGCTTTTATTGCTTCCAGGTAGCCCAAGTGACTTTCTATCACAATCACTTTTGCTACTGTTTGGGTTGTTGGGTTTCTGTCAACGACCAGAGCCAATTATCAAGCTTAAGAGCATTCACATACATGTTTTTCAAAGTATCTTGGAAATGTATTGAATGTGTTAACCAGGCAGTGTCCTGCTGAGTTCATTGGAACATCCAAGTCCAAAGAAGCAAACATTTTGTGGGCTGCCCCGCACATGGGTTGTGAACAGAATTGTGTGTGTGACTGCAGTTAGATCAAATGCAGCAGATCAAATGCATTTCAAAGGGGGCAGACGTGGCAGCGCAAGACGGAATGTGGATGTTTTAAAAGAAGGCAGGGCCACAAGGAAATGTTTTCTCAAAATAAAAAAAATAATGCAGGCTAAAAAGACAAGACTCTTTCCCCTGTCGTCGTCTTTTGGTTGCTAAGCGAAGCCCAACTCTCTCACTCTCCGTCTCTCTTTTAAGGAAAGGAATGGCCCTGGCCCTGAATGAAAGAAAAGTTTGACTCCAGAGCGGAACTAGCGGAGTTATTTGTCTGTGGTTGCCTGGGGCCGGCTCCAAACCAATTCATCCTTGTGGAGGCCGAGACGTTTCAGCCTTGGCAAAGGGAGCGCAGTAGGTGTGTGAGTACAGAAGACAACATGGTGCGGCGGGGAGGAGGATCCGGCTTCGTCAATAATTCCTGCGAAAACAAATGACAACGGTTTCACCCCTTTCAGGCGAGTTAAAATAAATAAATAAAACATATATGCACGCCTATTGATTACAGCACAGACCAGCATAGCGTTGTCAGAAGAGAGAGAGAGAGGAAGAGGAAGGGGGGGGGAAAGCAGGCAGTGCGGAGGAGGAGGAGGAGGAGGAGAAGGGGGCGCCTGCTGCGAATTGAAGCAGCCCCGCCACCCGAGAAGGGAGCCTCGGCCCGCCGCGCCGCCTTCCTCGCGGGAGCCTCTCCCGGGGCGCGAGGCCTGCGCTTGGCCGCCGTGGGCGCTCGATGGCTCGGGGCCCGATTGCACGGCCCTGAGCGGCTGCTCCCGCGGGGAAGAGGGAGGGCGCCCCGAGAGGCGGCTCCTCCTCCTCCTCGTCCTCCTGCTGCTGATCCGCGGGGAGGGCGCGGGGCTTCCCTGCTTCACAGGGGAGAAGCGGCAGCGGAGGGAGCGCTGGGCTTGCCTGGGACCCCACCCTGCGGAGCCAGCCACGCAGCCCGGCTCCCCCCGCGGAAGCTGCCTGCAGGCCGGCGAGCGGAGGCAGCTCCTCCTTTTCTTTCTTTCTCGGGGAGAGGAGGCGCAGGAGCCGATCCTGGCCGGCTGGGAGTCCCGTCGGGGCGCTGGTCGGAGGTAAGCTGTTCCGCTGGGGAGGTTTCTGGGGCGGGCTGAGGGGATTCAGCTGCTTGGGGGACACACGCGTCAGTTCCCCGCTGGTGGAGTGTGAGGCGGGCTGGTTGGGGGGTAGACTTTAGGTTCAATAAAGAACTGGTGTCGAGAGAGGGGACCACGGCGACCAGTTCCCCCCTTGGAACTGGTTTCTAGCCAAAGGCAGGACACCCGTCACCTCAAAGTTTTCAGGTGTCCTTGCCAAGCCTCCGCACAAGGAAGGAAAGTGTAGCCGGGTTGGAAGGAAAGTGTCAGCGTCTTATAAAGGGCTGGGGTTGCTTGGGTCGAAAAAGAGATATTCCCAAGCCCCGGAAGCCAAGGGAAGTGCGCTTATCTCCCCCAGGAAAGCTGCTAGTGGAAGTCCTCGTGGGGTCAGCCTTCAGGATATGTGGAATAAGCACCAGTTTCTTCCTGCAGAGCTAAGCACAGACTCGAGGTCCCTTAAGGCTGAGGATGAATTACTTGCTGTCTAATTTTTATTATTAGGGTGACTGGTAGCCTTGAATGTTTATTTTTATGTGTAAAGTAATCATCTTTGTATGCCTCTGTTGATTCTGAGTATGGAGCAGGATGGGGGGGTGGCTATTCTAGACTTACTAAATGCAAGTTGTAAGGCTGTAATTTTGCAGCTTGTGGAATAAATAAATACAGGCTCCTAATGGACAAGAGATTCTGGCTGCCCCGTATCATGTTGCTTTGTACAAAACGTGTTCTGTCAGGCCTCTAGGAGAACACAGAGGAGGACACTTTGTTTTTGTTTTGCTTTACTTTGGATCAGTCAATCTGGAGTTCATCATAACATAACAAGAACCCTAAAGGGTTAGGGCAATGGTCTGGCATCCGTTTCTCAATAGCATCCAACCAGATACCTATGGGAAGCCTGCAAGGAGGACCTGAGCACAACAGCAGGCCCCCACCTGTATACTCTTTGATTCCTAGCGACTCGCATTCAGTGGCATGCTGCCTCGGACATTGGAGTCAGTATGTCACTGTGGCTAGGAGCCATTGGTAGCTTTATTCTCCACGAATTTGTCTCTAATCCTTTTTAAAAGCTGTCCAAGTCGGTGGCAATCACTACTTCTTCCTGAAAAGATTGTACATACAACCTAGATTAAAAGTGTTGGAAAAGCCCACCCTTTAACCACCCTGTAACCACTTGGTTGGTAGAAAAGCTTAAAGCTTGCAATCTTCCTCCCAGCTGAACTCCCTGAGGCTTACAAGTGTATAAAGCTGCATAGTGTGTTAAGGAGCAAGACAGAGATCTTGAGCGTGCACGTTAGGAAATGCCCTGTTGCTTTTATTCATGTGATTAATTGGCTACACCTTCATCACATGGACATCCTGGGAAGGAGGGGTTCACTCTAGCAAAATAGAAACAATACATGAACTGCACAAAATCAGCAAAACTGCAGGGTAAATGAACATTCAGCATAATTAAGACACTGTGGATAACACTTAAACAGTGCCTAAGCTTGGGTGAATAAAAATACCTGGTGCCAAGTTGACATCAACATAGATGCCAGAGGACTCTTCTCTGGGAAGAACTTCCCAAAGCACTGAAATGGTTGTCTCCCCAGTTGCTACCCTCCATACCTTAGAAGATGGAGGCACACTCAGGAAAGTTCTGAGGGTGATATTGGTCAGACTGGTATAGGAAAATATGATCCAACAAGTACTTTGTATTTAAACTTTTAAAGTGAGCACCCCCACTTTGAATTAAGCTCAGAAATGGATCAGGAGTCAGTGAAGCTGATTCAACACCAAGAAGACATACAGTGGTGCCTCGCAAGACGAAATTAATTCGTTCCGCAAGTCTCTTCGTCTTGCGAGTTTTTCGTCTTGCGATGCACGGTTTCCCATAGGAATGCATTGAAAAGCAATGCGTTCCTAGGGAAACCGCCTTCCGACCTGGTCCGGGGACAGTCTGGCCCCGGACCTCTTCTGAAGGCTGGGGGGGCAAGGGCTTTCTTCCCACCCCCAGCATTTTAAAACCCCGGGACAGCGGAGGACTTCTCCGCTGTCCGGGCGATCTTAAAATGCTGGCGGGCGGCATTTTAAAATCACCCCGGGACAGCGGAGGACTTCTCCGCTGTCCGGGCAATTTAAAGCCCCTGGGAAGGCAGGCAGGGGGACAAAGACTTTGCCCCCGCCAGCCTTCAGAAGAGGTCCTGGACCTCTTCTGAAGGCGGGCGGGGGCGAAAGTCTTTGCTCCCCCGCCTTCAAAAGCCCTCCGGGACAGGCAGGCAGGGGAGCAAAGACTTTCGCCCCCGCCCGCCTTCAGAAGGTCTTCCCTCCCCCGCCCGGCTCGGAGCACCGTTCCGAGCCGGGCGGCGGCGGGAGGTCTTCCCTCCCCCGCCCGGCTCGGAGCACCGTTCCGGCCGGGCGGCGGCGGAGGTGTTCCCTCCCCCGCCCGGCTCGGAGCACCGCTCCGAGCCGGGCGGCGGGGAGGTCTTCCCTCCCCACCGCCCGGCTCGGAGCACCGCTCCGAGCCGGGCGGCGGCGGCAGGTGTTCCCTCCCCCGCCCGGCTCGGAGCACCGCTCCGAGCCGGGCGGCGGCGGCAGGTGTTCCCTCCCCCGCCCGGCTCGGAGGAGCCTTCCGAGCCCGGCGGCGGCGGGAGGAGGTGTCCCCGCCCCGCCGCCAGGCTTCGGAGGAGGTCCGAGGACAGTGGGGAAGACGCGCTGCGCTCCCCGCTGTCCCTGAGATTTCCCTATGGGCTGTCGTCTTGCGAAGCAAGCCCATAGGGAAATTCGTTTTGCGAAGCGCCTCCAAAACGGAAAACCCTTTCGTCTAGCGGGTTTTCCGTCTTGCGAGGCGTTCGTCTTGCGGGGTACCACTGTAGTTCCAGCACCCATTCCCAGTTAGCAGCTTTTTCTGAAGGCAGCCTCATGTTCAGAATCAGCACAGTTCAGTGGTTTACTGGGGAGTATTGAACACAAAGTTGCGTAAAGTCTAAGACAGAATGAGAGTGGCTAAGTATTAATTCTGCTAGTATATATAGTGATATGCAGCCTAGTGGATATCTTTCTGTGTGTGTTGTATCCATTTAGACCAGCAGTATAGTCTGAAGGCACATGATGCAACAACGTTGTTAAAGTTATCACTGGTTGAGTCTAGCCAGCGTTGGAATGGGAGACTGCCAGTTTTGCCATCATGAATTCTCTAGAGCAGCCTTGCCCAACCTGGTACCTGCCAGATGTTTTGGACTACAGCTCCCATCATCCCTGTAGTCCAAAACATCTGGAGGGTGCCAGTTTGGGAAAGTTTACTCTGAAGGAAAGGTGGGATTCATTTTTCATTTTCACCATAAGTTTCTCATGAAAGAGAGCAGGTGGTTACATTCACACACTGAAATTTTCCAAGTAGAGTCAGTGAAACTTCTTGAGCAGCTATGGTTCAGTATCAATATATTTCTCAGAGTGGCCTACATTTTATCTGTATTACTGCCTGACTCTTGACTTGTATGGTACAGCCTGGTAACCAGTTACTGACTGGTTGGCCTGGTGGGAGGGATGCTTATTAGGAGTTAACTCCTAATAAGTCAAATGCTACATCCTCCTTTCTTTTATACCAGCAAGAAAATGATGCTCCTGCTGTTTGTGATGTTTGAATGGTGACATGTGCAATACTGCAGCCTTTCTTTGAGGAACAAGGCGGAGAGAGAGCAAAGCACAACTTTGCAAAAATAATCTACCAAGCTGCAGAAGCAGTTTCTAGTTGCTGATGTGGCTGTGTCAAATGAGAGTTCAAAAGTTGCTACATGAAGTAAAAAAGGCACAGCTTTGCCGTTGAAAAGAAATCTTTATGGCCTCCATATATGGAAAGCATGTTAAGAAAAATGGACGGCTGGACTAGGAACCTAAAGGTTTTATTTAATATTTTTTATTCTACTGTGGGCTTCAATCTGAAATCCATCCTGGGATAGGTGGTGAAAGGAAGGCAAAATACATATCACTTGGCATTTAGATCAGGAGGAGCTGTTCCTTAAATGTGTTCCATTTCTTTACAATCACATTTACCAGTGCTATTTTATCATAGTTACAAATAACAGAACTGACATGTTGTTTCATCTGACAAAATGGGAATAGGAATATACAGTAGAAGTGGGACCTGCAACAAATTTTTGCAGGGTGGAGTGCTCTTGTTCAGTGTGTTTCAGCCAGTCAGTCAAGCCCTCCTCGGAGATCCTCCTTTCCCACCCTCAACAGCCACTCAGCATTCTGTGGCCAGTGACCCACAGTGGAGTGTTTGGGTGCTCCTCTCCTTATGTTTTCCCTGCCCTAAAGGTTTTTGGTATTTCCAAAAACCCCAGGGTTCCATTCTTGTGGAAGGTGCAGTTTTGGCAACATAAGCAGCATCAATTAAGTCTGAAACTTGGAAATGGAGAACTGGACATTGTCTTGTCCTGAGAAGTAAAGATGAACTCAGTAAATTTTTACAAAGCAATGCAAGAGCAAAGGCAATCATAACTTCAAGTTAGGTTTGTCAATTTGGTAGATATAATCTCAGAAATGTAGAGTCTGAATGCACTAAAATGAAACAGGGAAAGCGGGAAACTTTAGGTTGGGTTTAATCTAGGTTATGCCGCTCATTAATGTATATGTTCTACAGTAGAAAGAAGTTTTTATACCCTGCCACCCGCTAATAGAAAATATTACCTTGTATAAACAATCTATTTCCTTGTTGCAGTTGCACTGTCATTTATATATGTATGCAATTATTCTTACAGTGAAATCCTAGCCATGTCTATTCAGAAGTAAGTTCTGTGGAATTCAGTTGGGCTTACTACCAGATAACAGAGTTAGGATTGCAGCCTTAGTCAGAAAAAGGGTGTTTCCTTTATATGAGCAAGCATGGAAATTGCAGCACATACACACAACACTTCCCCTCCCCCCAAGTTACAGATTTTGGCAGTAAAAAGGTTTATTGGTTTAAATAAATAATATACATAGGTACTTACATGTACATATATACATTATGATGCAGGAAGATTTTCCCTATGCTTTTTTTCAGTCCTGTGCAGAAAACTTGATTGAGATTTCTCAAATAAACAAAAATTATGTAATAATTATGTAATAACAAACAAGACACATAAGACATACCTTTACGATGAACTTAGTCTCGGTGGTACTTGTGGATGCACAGGAAAAAAGAGAAAACTCAAACAATCATGAAGAAATTATCCAGACAGTAATATGGAAAGCCATCAAAGATAATTTATAGATTTTAAGTTAAAGACCAAACACACAACACTTAAACTCCTTACTAGCTTCATGTGTTTGCTAGAATGTAACAACACAATCAAATTCATGTCTGTTCAGAAGTAAACCCCGTTTTGTTCACTAGGGCTTACTCCTAAGTAAGGGTATAGGATTGACTCCTCAGGTTTGAAATATAAACACTGTTTCAATACGTGCAGGACAAATTGATTGTATAGGTGGCAAACTGGGCATGTACATCGGGCTATCGTGGAAACAAATCCTTGGTATGTCTGCAGAATCACATTGCACCTGGTAAAAAGATAGCTATGCCTACACACATTGCTAGGAGATTTTGGATCAGATGCCACTGGAATTCCTAAGACGTTGGATAGCATTAAATGTCTCATTGTGTCTTTGAAAGACTTGTGCCAGTTTGGACCTTGTAGCTGCATAGCATTGGGGAATAGCAGGAATCACACAGCTCACAAATCCGTTTGCTTTGCCATACTACCCCTGAAATATAACTTCAGCAATATAGGCATCATTTTTATGTAGAGCAGTTTGCAAAATTCCATGAGAAAGGTCTATCTTGTGTGTTTACCTGGAATTAAGCTTATGGATTTCAATAATACTTCCTAAGTGAGCTTAGAAAGATCACAACCTAAGTGTAAATTGTACACTAGAGGAGTTTATTTCTATGTTTAGAAAGCATCTAGCATAACAGTATAAATAATAAATAGGACCTTTCTCTTGAATTACATCAGATAATCAGATCTCACTGGACTGCCCAGTTGCATTCATGTTTAGCTCTCATCTGAGCTGTAGAAATTCCTCCCTTCCTCCACTAATTCATTCTGTTAGAAAATAAAGAAGAAATCCTTGTGTCCTATGGAGAATCCGCTTTTATTTTTTCTGTTCCCTCTGCCCCATCCAAGATACATATATTGGTACCCCAAAACCAGTATTCCTGAGGAAATCTACTTCCAGATGGAAATAAATTGACCTCTGTATCTTGATTGGGGGGGGGGGGACTTACCAGATTTTGCGTTTTGTATCCTCCTTTATAAATTCCAATTAAAACTGAAAGCAGAAATAAATTCTGGTTCATCATATAACTGATTCATGCTCAGAAGATAGAGTCATTTACAGTACTGTTGTATTCCTAGCTCAAGTACTAGCTCTGGGTGTAATTTGAACCTGGGTGAATATATTTTTCAAGCATAGCTCTTTCTTTAGTCCATCTGTGTGTGTGTGTGTGTGTGTGTGTGTGTGTGTGTGTGTTTGTTTGTTTCACAGTCCTTGGAGTCTCCAGATCAAGGGGATGTGTGTTAAAAGATGTGATCAACCATCTTTAACCTGGATGGTTCTGGTGTTGTTGACATGAGTAATTCTGCAGTTAAAAATAGGGTGCAAACTTAATTTATAGCAGTAGGATGTTGGTGTATATTGATCTACATTTTGTTCATGTAGAATTGGTGTTTATTGTAACATGTAGCTATTCCATTTTCATGTGTGCAGCAAATGTTACAGTAAATATGAGCACATGATCTGGTCTGTCTAACTGCTCCTTCCTAGCTACCTTTTCCATGTAATTTTGCAATACAGTGGTACCTCAGGTTAAGTACAGTGATACCTCAGGTTACATACGCTTCAGGTTACATATGCTTCAGGTTACAGACTCCACTAACCCAGAAATAATACCTTGGGTTAAGTACTTTACTTCAGGATGAGAATTCGTTCCAGAGGTCCGTACTTAACCTGAAACTGTTCTTAACCTGAAGCACCACTTTAGCTAATGGGGCCTCCTGCTGCCGCCGCGCCGTCGGAGCACGATTTCATCTGTTCTCATCCTGAAGCAAAGTTCTTAACCTGAAGCACTATGTCTGGGTTAGCGGAGTCTGTAACCTGAAGCGTATGTAACCTGAGGTACCACTGTATTGCTAATTGTGTGCTTGCTCAATGGTGTGGGTCAGGGCCTATTAGCAAATGCAACTTGCTGCTTGAAATCTCTGTGAGTTGTGATACCACTGCTTATCTGTTTTTCTTGAAACTCCCAAATAATTATTTCTTCTCATAAAGTAGTAAGGTGTATTGTCACAGTATTTCTTCCTATAGGCATTTTTGATTGGCTACTGTGAGAAAAGGATGCTGAACTAGATGGGCTATTGGCCTGATCCAACAGACTCTTCTTCTGATGCATATGATGTTAACAATGCTGAAAATTAATTTATGGCACCCTGGTCTTCTAAATGAGCATTACTGAGAAGAAGCAAAATACCTTATGCATCCTTTCTAGATGTTTGGCAGCTATAAAATTGTACCTATGATGCTGGTGACTGTTCCACAGGTTCTGTTTCAGTTGGAATGTGTCACCCTGGGCTCCTTTGGGAGAAAGGATGGGGTGTAAATTGAATAAATAACAGCAATATGTTGCAAATGTTCTAGCAAAAGTGATCACTGTACCTCATTCTGACTTTTTTTTTGTTTTGCTGGAGGAGAAGCTCATAAGATTGAGCATTAAAATTTAAGCTTTCTGTGATTTAATATATTTGTGTTTGTGCAGGTATTCCATTTCATTCATCCTGTGAATACTAATATCCCTTAGCTACAGTCTTGTGTCTTCATGAGTGGCTTTCAGATAGTGAGAAAGAAACGCTTTAAGGCATGGAGTTGGCTCACAGCTTTTTGCTTAATAAAGAGGCCTATAACCAACTGGGCGAATTTCAGAAAGCAGAGTTTGTTTTCGAGTGGCTGAGGTTTTTGGAAAAACTTTTGCCAGCAACCAGCCGGGTGAGTATTGTACAACTGGAATAAAATAACATTTTGAGAAAATTGTCTTTTTTACATACTTTTGTCCCCTAAGTGGACCACAATCCTAACCAGTGTATGCTAGGGAGAAGTTGTTGTTTAGCCAAAGATAGGGGACTGTTAAGGGTTGGCTAGATGGCAGGAGCAGTGTGGTGTGTGTGCATCCGATTTTGAGACAGACTTAGACTTGAATGGGTCTGAGCCTAGTTCAGAAAGGGGCGAGGCTTTTCAAGCAGAGGATGTTCACATTCAGACCCCACCACAATTTGAACTTAGCCTTGTCTCTAACTGTAAAACCAAACTTGTGTATTTTATCTTATATTTTATTCTGTGAACTGCCCAGAGATCTAGTGATGAAGGGCGGTATATGAATTTAAATAAATAAACGCACTGCTTACTCTTTTTTTGTTTTCAGGCCGATATAAAGGAAAAACAGAGCAAGCTTGTTGAACAGCTGATATCTTTATTAACCAGTTCCCCAGGACCTCCTGCCAGACAGCTTATTGCCAAGAATCTTGCTATAATATATAGCACTGGGGACACGTTTTCTGTGCACCAAACAATTGATAAATGCAATGAACTTATTCGCAGTAAAGATGATTCACCAAGTTATCTGCCTACAAAACTGTAAGTCTGGAAAGGTCCTGTGAAGTCTTATTAGAATATTCCTCCTTCATTTTAAAACAGCAAAGTGACGAGCTCTGTAACTGATAGCAGGAGTGACTTCCGGTTTCTGTCGACCCAGGCAAGAGAGTCATAGTGGGCTCCTCTTGCTATACTGTACTATGCACAGGCCTTTCCTCCCCTTTCCTCCTGTCCTTTTCTCTGATTACATCCCTTTGCAGGAATGAGATTAGAATTGTGTGATGGAGTAGAATGGTCCAAACAGATCCCATATTCCTTGGTGCAGCTAGAGAGTTTGAGCTGATATGGTAGCAGAGACTGCCATGAAAAATGTTATCATTGCTAGGTCTATGGAGATGAATTCACAAGATATGGATGTCCCAGAAGGCTTTGGAAGGGGGATATGCAGTATATGCACCCAAAGTCGGTGCTTGAGGGAGGAAGCAAAGACGCATACCATATACATGGTCTTGGAATCACAAGAGAGCAGGAGGAAGTCCTTCTGAGAAAAATCCCTTCAGGCTCAGATGAGGACCAGAAAGCTCAATCCCAATGAGATAGGAAAGGCATGCTGGGATCCTTCTGGCCTCGTAGCTTTGCTCATTGGCAGGTCCACATGGGCTAGTCCATCACACCCATTTATGTTGGCTTGTTGCTTGTTATGGCCATCACCATTGCTTGCATTTGCTGGACACACTCTAATGGGTGGCAAGGCTAATAAGGAGGGTAGAACAGTAAGCAACAGTGGCTGTTGTTCCCCCTCACTACAGCTGGGCTTCAGCTATGTGTCCTGACAGATATCCAGCTGTGCTAACTGATGTTGACAGGGATGGACAAGAGCCTACTTTTTCAGACATGCCTGATATCAAAGTTTATGCCAGTGTCACTTTGCTGGTTTTTTGGGGGGCGGGTGGGTTTAGGTATCACAGACCTCCTGTTGTTGTTTTGTGACAGAGTAGATGAACACGGCTGCCCTGGTCATCTGGCTTATTTCTTTATTCAGATAAATCCATTTATTCAGATAGATCCATTAAGTTGTGAACTGCCTTGAAAGAGGATCATCCAATTTTTTTTCTTTTCTGTACGATTGTGAAATCAGTTTAGCTTTTTTTTTTTAAGTGTTGATCATGCAATTTAGCAATACAGTTGTTTACTTCCTAAGTAATTTAATGCTAAATTGCTTTTTGTAATTGTAAGCTTCAGCGGTGCACGATAAAATGCTGACATCGTATAACTTACTAAGAATATTTTGTTAAACATATGTTGATTGACTGCCATTCCTCCCCCCCTTTCCAATTCTCTGTTGTTGTTTTTAAGTGCTGCAGTGGTTTGTTTGGGCTATTTGTACAAAAAACTGGGAAGAATTTTGGGCAACAGCTTTGTGGATACTGTCGGGAATATCCTTAAAGCAATGAAGAATGCAGAGGTAAGGAAGCATGAAACAAGTTGGGTGGGTTGACAGTTGGAAAAAATGCCCAAAGAAGACTTATTTCTAGAACATTATATTTATTAGGAGAAAATGTTTCCCAGTAGGAGAGTAGTGTTTGAATATGAGGCTTGACAATTACCTTTGGGTGCATATTTTTAGAATCATCTTTCTATTGCTGCCCAGGGCTCCTTTGGGAGGAAGAGAAGAATATAAATTGAATGGATGAATGAATTTTAAATAAACATAAATTATTGTATAAGATGAAATAATATTATTAATTCATTAACATACTTGCAAAGCTACTTTAGTCTTGAATCAAACTTCATAAATAAATTTGTTTTGCTTTAGAAGAGTATTCCTACTACAGGTTTTGAGATCTCGAATAGTGCAGAGACTAGAATGCTGTGGTTTGTGTGAGATAATTAATCTTCCAGTTTCCACTCCTGCCATGAAGTTCACTAAGGGGGCCTTGGGCAAGATCTCTCACTCTAGCTTACCTCACATGATTTCAGTAATGCTAAAAACATTACTCTAAACTTGCTCAAGGAAGAATGGGATGAAAATGTAACTAATGAGTAGATAAAATAATGTCCTTTAGTTGAAAACCACATGACCTTTTTCTCTTGTCTTGTTAGTCTCAAGGGCGGTATGAGATCATGCTAAGTTTGCAAAATATATTGAAAGGTCTGGGAGTTGCTGCTATTCCATGTCACAGAGATATTTACAAAGCTGCCCGTTCATGCTTAACTGATAGATCAATGGCAGTTCGCTGTGCTGCTGCAAAGGTAAAGTGCCCTATTAATTGTTTTTAGTAATTAATCTTCCTGTATACAGTTGCATATGTTAAATGGAGGATAAAAGAAAATCAATTGTCTCCCTCTCTCTCACGGCACAGAAAATATTTTTGATACATTTTGCAATTCAATTGGTAAAAAATACATCCATGTAATATTTTTGCTAGGAAGCTTTTTCCACCATAAATGGCTGTATTTTTGGTCAGTTTTCTGTGCAACCTGTATTGTAGAATTTGTACATCTTATCCAGCTGTACTTTTTATCATGATTATGATTGGATTTATATACCGCCCTATACCCGGAGGTCTTAGGGTGGTTCATAGAACAAAATCAAAATAAAAAACCACAAATATGTAATCAAAATAAAAACAACAAAACAATAACCCTGCCCCCCCAAAAAAAAATTCAAAAGGGCATAGGATTTTGCAGTCTTGACTGCCATTGTATAAATAAAGCCCCACAGATTAGAGTAAAAAGCACATGTTTTAGTAATTGGGTCAATTTTTATTATTTTATCCTTTTTTTCCTTTGCATTTATATCTCACCTTTTCCTCAAGGAGCTTAAGTTCCCTTCCTGTGGTCAGTCTACAATCAATTTATAAGCAAAGTATAAATTCACATGAACAGATTTTTTAAAAAACAGTTTGAATTTGTTTTTTAAGTTTTTAAGTTTAAGTTTAAGAATGAAGTTACTATTCATTCCCATATATTAGAAACTGGTATTAGCAGTCTGGCCCAGAAGGTGTTGAATATCTTGTTGCCAAAGTGGATCACCCTGCCATGTTTAGAATACTTTAAAATAATGTACACCAGTGAAGTTGAAGTCCTTTCATTTAAAAAAAAATATATTTTATTTTTCCGTCTATAAGATGCCCCCATGTATAATACGCCCCCTGATTTAAGAAAATGGAGGGAGTTGTATCCGTGTATAAGACGCCCCCAACCTTTTGACATTATTTTTTAGGGGAAAAAACCTAGTCTTATACGCGGAAAAATATGGTAATTGATTTTACAACATACAAGAATTCAAAAACCCCCACAAACAAATTGATTTGTTTGCCTCATACCTGTCAATGGTTGTGTAGCCACATTCTGCACTAATCGAAGCTTCTGAACCATTTTCAAAGTCAGCTCTGTATAAAACACATTGCAGTAGTGCAATCTTGAGATCAGCAGAACATGATTACTTTAGCCAGGTTATCCTTGCTTAGATAAGGGCAGTAGTTGGACCACCAGCTTAAGCTGGCAGAAGACACTCCACAATTCATTGCATTGTACTTGTGCAAAAAAGACTGAACCTATTTCTTTTCTTGTTTCCCTGTTTTTGTTTTGTATAGTGTCTTCTTGAACTGCAGAGCGAAGCAAGTTTTATGTGGAGTACAGACCTGGATAGTGTTGTAACTCTGTGTTTTAAGTCATTTGAAGGGTCGAATTATGATGTACGAATTGCTGTTTCTAAGCTTTTAGGCAGTGTATTAGTGAGTGCTGTAACATCTAAACAAGGCGGCACAGGTAAAATTATTAGGGTTTCTTTCTTCCTATGTCGATGTGAGAAAATAATAATAATAATAATAATAATAATAATAATAATAATAATAAATTATTTGTACCCCACCCATCTGGCTGGGTTTCCCCAGCCACTCTGGGCGGTTTCCAACAGAAGAATAAAAATACATTAAAACATCAGTCACTAAAAACTTCCCTAAACAGGGCTGTAATGTAGAAATTATTGGCAAACTGCAGTAAATAGTGAACAGCCTTCAAAATAGATGTGGTTTTAACAAATGACAATCTATTGTATATGATCCCCCCTGCCATGTGAAGGTTTCGGTCACTTGCTGGAATTAAAATGCAATCAGAACATATACGGTTGGGATTTAACAATAGCTTCATTTGAAAGAGACATTCGCACAGCTTCACACAAACATAGAAAGACGAAACAAAACATATGTTTCTTGCATTCTCAGGGTAGTAGAAATTAAAAGTAGCAATGGTGTTCTGTCAGCCCATACTCTCAAACTCATTCCGATAGGAGCAGGGCTTCAGTCCTAAAGACCTCTCTGTCTGTCTCTGTCTCTCTCTCACACACCCACACCCACACACCCTGAGCACACTTCTCTAGTTTTTAAAACCTTGGCATCCGTACAAGATGGTGTACCTCAAGTGCAGTACCCCATTGGCTCACTGTCTGAGCTTTCTCCCCATGTGACTTTGCCCTACTGCCTAGAAATCAGATGTGTGCTGAGTGTTTCAGCAAGATTGGTGCTTGTACTTTTCCATTCTTATACAAACCCACCCGTAAACCTGACCACATCTATACTTCCAGTTGACAACTGGAAACTGACTTCAGATGGCTAACTTATTCTAAGAGATGCTTCTGAGGCCTAAATGAGAGAAATATACATATGATGCATTTAGCTGTAGCTAAAGAGGTCAATTATAGATGTAAATAAATCTATAACAGTTTATCCGTGGCATGATCTATCGTGTTGCAAAATGGGCATCACTGTGGATAAAGACCCAAGGCAGACAAGGCAGGGAATAACAGAAGGAAAGAGAGAAAAATGGCTGTTAATATAGGGGAGGACTGACTGTGAAGTCATGTTTCAACTTAAAGAGCCTGTTCCTAATCGAAGCACTCCTTAGTGGACAACTGATCCAACTTGGATTCTTTTAATGTGCTCCATTCTCATTTCAATAACACTTAGAATGATTCGTGATTCGTCCAATGAAGTTTTACTTCTAGGCCTGCTGCTCCCCTTAGATAAATTTGGAAATGAATAGTATTTTTTTCTAAGCCTGAAACTACCAGTAAAATGTGTTTGCTTTCACTCATCTCTTCCATTACGTACTGTAGTAAAAATAAACAACAACCCTGTAGTTTACCTAGATCAGGAATTATACTGTTTATAAGCCTTGCTAAGCCATCTTCCTCATCCAGGAAACCAAACGAAAATGTTCCTGTGAGTGCATGCACTGACAACTGTGTGTATTCCTCCCAAAGCTTATGTCCGTTGATATTTAGCCATATGTGCCTGCAGCCAGTGTCTCCAGTGAACACTAATAACTTCATCACATTTTGTTTTATTTATTACATTTATATACTTCCTTTATCTTCCAAGGAGCTCAAGGTGGTATACATGGTTTTTCAAGGTGGTTACATAAGGCTCAAACATATATGCCATGATCCTCTGTGCATACTTGAAAGTCCAATGAATTAAGATGTACTTCAGATAAATGTTCATAGGATTAGACTGAACTTCAGACCTTTAACCCAATAACTATGTCGTATGAACTGAATGTTTAAGTTTAGTTATGATACCTGAGACTTTGTTGTAACACAGTAGAATCTAATAAATAAATGTGGATGCATTTTCCCCCTCATTGAAAAAGCATCTGCCAGACAAAATGTTCGCAAGATCTCATTTGAAGAAGCCTTGGAACTTCTGGGTACAGGTTTCCTTCGGGGAAGTACAGGATTTCTACGAGCCAGTGGTGATATTCTGAAAGGGACAAGCTCGGTCAGCAGGGATGTTAGAGTTGGAGTCACTCAGGTTTGATTATGTTATATATTGTAAAAGTTACTATTTTGGTTTTTTTTTGCTTTGTTTTTCTGTGAAAGTATTGAACTAGTTAATTGATTTTACATGTTAATATTTTACAGGCTTATACAGAAGACTAATTACTTGTCTTCTAATATTTCCCAGTGTTTTACTTGGATGCTAATGGTGCTTATTTCTCTTTTTGAAAGAGAAATTAATTTGCTAATAATGAAATTATTTTAATGTTTATTTATAATTTTCTTTCACAATGTTTGAGTTAGTTCATTGTCTTTTCATTTTTTAAAAAAAATGTTTCTTAACATTCAAAAACCCTTCTGCCTTCGTTTAAGAGCTATTATATTCTGCAGCTTGCAATGGTGAGGCCTTCTCTGTGATCTGGTTCGCGTGTCACATTAAACCTTAGTTAAAATAAACTATGGCTTGATGTGAATGAGCAGTGCGCTTGTGCATGCTGCTGAAATCGCAGGAGCTTTGCTCCTCCTTCACTTGCTGCTGCTGCACCGCCAGGAAACCAGGCATGGTCTGACTTGTTGCCTCATCTGAACCTGGGCTCATGATCTGTTTCTCTCTAAAACCTTGGCTTTCACTCGTGATCTGTGTGAGAAACAAACCATGAGCCTGACTGGTTTCCCACAAACATGTAATTGCTCTTAGCTGATGTCTGAAAGAACTTGTTCCTTGATTAAGCATTAATAAAGCAACTAAAATAACACATCTTTCACATTTTTTCGGATCAGTGGCTGTCAAGGACAGAGAGCCATGGCAGAGAGAACTAACTAATATCAGAGCAGTTTCATATTTAGCAATTTAGTCTCTGAGACTTTTTGTTACAGAGTCAGTAGAGCTGAGGATTTTTGTGACATAAATGCAAATCCGGTATTGGGGAGGGGATTAATTCTTTGCCATCTGTTAATTGATTGCCCTTCATAGGGTGCCAGTATGAAGTGACACCCAAATCCCCTCCCCAGTAGGGCATATGCTTTAAAAAATCTTGCTGTATTATTGAAACACTAATTCATTCCTTCTCTTCTCCCCATACCGTCCAACAAGCAAATGCACCCTGCTGCATGGTGAGGCCAGCTGTCCCTTCAAAATACCCTAACTAAAATAAAAATAAAGCTACAGTTTCTTCTTTAAACAATTCCATCATACATGGAAGTCCAGAACCTGTAGCAGGCTACTCAGGAAAATTATTTTAGGGCTGTTTCTGCCGCACATTTTTGAAGAAAAATAATTGTGTTTTCATGTCTAAAGCCTGAAGGGATTATGCTTAGAAAATGTATTCAGCTAAACTACAAAAGATCTTGTCCTCCAACTACTTTTTATTCTTTTCTCTATGCTCAAATAAAATAATGTTGAAACCTGTTTTTTTTTTTTAATTCTAAAGTTAGATTGCCATAAAATAACTCTCTCGTAACTAATTCAATATATTGGTGGGGATACACCTAATGAGTCCTGTCACCAAAAGTCCTGTGTGAGGGCTTCCACTTATGCAATGGGTTTTCTTTCCCCCCATGACCCCGAAATTGTTTTGGGGTGCAGGAGAACCCTGAAAACAATGCTCAGGAGGAGGAGAGGTGGATAATTCTATCTGGCATTCTGCAATGCTTGTGCTGATAGGACAGTCAGCATTGTGCAACACTGATTTTCTTTCTGGGTGTGTTTCTTCCCAATGCAATTCTCAATGTGGATGTAGTATTTATGAGGTTGACCTATTAACTGCATTGAGTAGAAGTTGATACCCAGTAAGATAATTTTTTCTTCAGAATAAGGGCTCTCTATATTCTTCCCTTCTGTTCTGATTCATTGAGTTGCAAACAGTTAAAATTCATTTGTAATAAGGAGGAATAGTCCAGTCATGGCAAACATTTAAAAAATAAAACCTGTAGGGTGAGGGTAAAAATGCCCTAATTCCCACAAGTGTGTAGTTTATTGTAACCTAATAATTCTTAAATTTCATTTTGCACTAAATGTGGGTGCTACATGCAGAATATTAAATTGCTGGAAGTTCTTGCATACTGATGCCAAATGCAACAGTTTACATAACAAGTAACAGCTGTTTCTCTTGTTCTCTTGTTCTGCTATTAAATATAAGAGAGGAAGAGGCTGAATGAACTAGCTGCTTTGTCGCTACTGGTTTAATTTAAAGCAGTTTTTGCCCCCAACATAGCATCTAAATTTGACTTAGATGACTAAAAGCCAGTTTGTTTCCACCTTACTTCACATAATGAAGCTGGAAACATGTTTGTCTTAAAAAATATTAACAAAATTATTTTGGTGTCCTGTTAATATTATTTAATGGTAGCCTTTATGACTTCTTTCATACTGCATTATATTTTTGAGAAGATTTTGATGTAAAAACATTGCATTTTAATCAAATCTCTTTCAGGCATATGTGGTATTTATCTCCACGCTGGGAGGGCAGTGGCTTGAAAGGAATTTTTCTGCCTTGCTTTCCCATGTTCTGGACCTCGTTTCCCAGTCTCACCCTAAAGCTATTCAGACTCAGATGGACGCTATCTGTCGCCGCCGCTGTATTTCATTTATCCTCCGAGCTACAGTAGGAGGCCTTCTTGGGGGGAAAGCTCAAATTGCAACTGCCAAGGAGATTTGTCAAGCCATCTGGAAGCTGAAGAAAGTTGTGGGTATGGGACTAACAAGATTATGTGCTCTCCCTCCCCCCTCCTTTTCACTAGTACTTTGTATCATTTCCTAATCTGCTCATGAAGGCTATGCAGTACTGTTTGCATCTCCAACGATGCCTTATCTGAAAGAAAAATCCACATGGCCCTTTGGGATTCATTTCAGAATAATAATTAAAATACCTGTGAGTTCCTTTAATGTTTTTCCATAATTTAAAGGTAAAGGGATCCCTGACCATTTGGTCCAGTCGTGACCGACTCTGGGGTTGTGGCGCTCATCTCACTTTACTGGCCGAGGGAGCCGTCGTACAGCTTGTGGCCAGCATGACTAAGCCGCTTCTGGCGAACCAGAGCAGCGTACGGAAATGCCGTTTACCTTCCTGCCGGAGCGGTACCTATTTATCTACTTGCACTTTGACATGCTTTCGAACTGCTAGGTGGGCAGGAGCTGGGACCGAGCAACGGGAGCTCACCCCGTCGCGGGGATTCGAACCACTGACCTTCTGATCAGCAAGTCCTAGGCTCTGTGGTTTAACCCACAGCGCCACCTGCGTCCCATCTCCATAATTTAGGTTAGGGTTATTATGTGGAAGGTAAGTCTGATGACTGACTAAGCGCCATGGGAGTCAGAACTGCATGTTGTGTACCAGGGATACGGGTGGCACTGTGGTCTAAACCACGGAGCCTCTTGGGCTTGCCAATCAGAAGGTCAGCGGTTTGAATCCCCGTGACGGCGTGAGCTCCTGTTGCTTTGTCCCAGCTCCTGCCAACCTAGCAGTTTGAAAGCATGCTAGTGCAAGTAGATATAGGTACCACTGCGGCGGGAAGGTAAACAGCGTTTCTGTGCGCTCTGGCTTCCATCACAGTCCTCCGTGCGCCAGTAGCGGTTTAGTCATGCTGGCCACATGACCCAGAAAGCTGTCTGTGGACAAACACCGGCTCCCTCGGCCTGAAAGCGAGATGAGCACCGCAACCCCATAATTGCTTTTGACTGGACTTAACTGTCCAGTGGTCCTTTATCTTTACTTTTTACCTTATTGTGTATGACTGACTTCTAGCTGTTGAGGATTTTCCACAGGTGTGGGAATCATGCACATATTCATTGGTTATGAACTTCCCTGTGGCATCAAGCTAGTCTTCATCAAGATAAAATAACCATATGGTCCATTAGTCTCTCTCAGAATGGGAAGTTTGTGTTTGTACACTGCATCTATGAACGTTGTGTCAGAAATGCTGGAATCTAGATTATGACAATCCAGTGGGCTTGAAGGCACTGACAACCACTTGATAGGTGATGACTTCAAGTCCTGCTTACTTACTGTCTGCAGTACCAGTTTTACATTCTTCAGGGGCAAATATGAGAAGACAGGGCCTCTGGGAGCGTATGGGCCCCCAGCCACTCATTGCTACTCAGATATATAGGTTTCAAAACGGAGAATATTCAGGCCACTGCTTGGTTCTGAATCAGGATATGGAGGTGACTTGCTTAACCAGGGCTTACTGTTAATCAGAATTTTGAAATTGGCTTCAAACCCTTGATTCAAATAATGGTTAATAGCCAACTTTTCTTTGACTTAAATGTGGTTAAGATTGGTACTAGCAGTAAGGACTATTCACACTTGAAAGGGAAGGGACTGTGAGAATGGAATGTGGGATTCCACGAACTGCTTCCATGGCTAAGCGATTGGGAGAGTCTTATGTGCACACCAGTTCATTGACTGAAGTGCCCTTCTACCTACTTTTTCTTCTCAATTGACTTGGGCCCAAATTCAGAGGAAGTTAATCATGCCATTAAAATCAATAGGGTAAGTTAGCTTTGACTCATTAATTTCAGCTGTCCTTCCATGTGAGTAACGTTCTCTGGATTTGGGCCTATATGTTTGCCACAACATGGCATCGAAATATTGTCTCCCATACTCTTTTAACAAGCACATGCCTATTTTCCTCTACACATGGGCAGGTACAGAGAATATCTGCAAAGTTGGTTGTCAGCTGATCTTTGTTTTTTTTGCTACTCAGTGTCTCCTGCCGTCAGTGTTTTCATGGAGCCCCGCTTTTACTGCAAAACTGTATTAGATATGGTCGATGTACCAGCCATCTCCTCCTAGTCTTTTAAGTCTCTTCTTTTGTCTAATGTAGCAAAGATAACACAATTCTGTCATATTACTAGATGCTGCCATGAGTGACAGTAACGTGGAAACCCGTGTTGGTACAACAGATGTGGTAGCAAGCCAACATATGCTTATATGTTCCTTGGAAGAGCTTGGAAACCTCATTCAGAATTTAGGCACTACAGCTGCACCTCTGCTACAAGATTCTAGTACAGGTAATGGATCATACCTTTTGTTCTCCGTGATTTTGTGAAATGTATGTTTTGGATCCTTGAGACTTTGGACTCATTATATAAAAAAACAGTTTAAGAAAACAAAATGTTATGGGTACCTTGATCTAATCCAGCTTGCTGCAGGATTAAAGCAAGTTCTAATACAGGTTCAGATAAACCCAATTGTCTCTCTCTCTGTGTGTGTTTTAAATCCTTATTGGATAAAGATTCTGTGTTACTTCAGATAATATGTAGGAGATCTGCGATGAGTGGGCTTTTGGAATCAGTTTTCATGCTGTCAAGGGGAGGGTGGGAATCTGTGGAAAGACCTCCTGTTAGATGTCAAGAAAATAAACAACTATCTGACTTTTCGAAGACATACGAAGGGAAGTCTAGGGAAGATTTTAATGTTTGATGTTTTCCTGTGGTTTTATAATTTGTTTGAAGTCAGATGAGTGGCATAGAAATAACAACAACACAGATTGAAGTTCATTACTCTGTGTTCTTAAACCGTATGTAGGACACAAAATACTCTGGCTCTTAGTTAAAATAGGTATATTCTCTATATAATCATTATTTAGGCCTTAACCTATTTGCATTTACTTAGGAGTAACTGTTATCTGAAAATAGCGATACTTGTTTCTAATTAAATAAAATGTTAGAACTTGGCTGCACATCTTACAAAAAGAGTATTTTAAAGAAATATAATGAGAAAAGAGCTGTTCACTACTCACAGCAGACTCTGAAGTTGAATTGTTGCAATTGTGACAAGTTTCTCAGAATTATTTCCTCTACTAAAGGTAACTTAGCTTTGTACAACACGACAATAGTGTTATGTTTATTAGTTAGAAAGCACCTTAAAGTCACTATGCCCTGTATAGAAATTGTGGTTGGTAGGTGTTCCTCCAGGTTTATAATCTAATCAAAGATTAGACTTTTTCAAGAGGAAAGCAGGGTAAAAGGGGAAGGAGTGTCCGTGGGAAAACACCTGAAAGGGTGGGTGTGTGTTTCGATGCGATCATAAAGGAAAAGTGGGTGTTAGGTAGAACATCTGAGTGATAGGGAGCTGCAAGTGAAAGGGCAAATAAAAGAGAGAGTAATCTTACATATAATTAGAAGATTGGATCCTTTAGTATCTAGGTAGCAGGCAAGAGGCTACAGGGAGAGAATATCGACTGTGGAACAATTTGAAAGTAAGTACAGGAAGCTTAAATGAAGATGAGGGACGATGGGATGGCAATTAAAAGAGTAAAGGAATGAGCAGAAAATTATAATATGGGCACCATCATATCAGATGAATGTTGCGCCAGTAGTCAATGCAGGAAGCCAAAAGACAGTGAACATTTTTTTTTGATAGTGTACGTAGAGAGAAAATGAGATGGCTTGACCAAGAGCAGGAGAAAACAGGAAAAAAAGATAATTAAAATATTTGAAGTTTCTGAGCTTGATGAGAAAACTAGCAGTTACATGGTCAAGAGCAAGATGAAACATCCTAGAATTTATGACATGAAGCATCCTAGAATTACTTAGTATGGTGTTCATTCGTGTGTTCAGAAGTCAGTTGTGAATCTAGCTCAGTTACTGTTCCTGAAAATTTGCTGTGCTGATTTTTTAACATTTCTGACTTTCCAGGGGTTTTGGATGCAGTGGTGTCCATTATTATCCACCCCAGTATTTCAGTTCAGCTGGCAGCCGCATGGTGTCTGCGCTGCATTGCTGTGGCACTGCCCTGCTTTCTCTCGCCACTTCTGGATCGCTGTATCGAGCGGCTCACAGCACTCAAATCCTCCCCAGAAGCAGTGACTGGCTACAGTTTTGCTGTTGCTGCCCTACTGGGAGCTGTCAGAATGTGTCCTTTAGGAATTCCACATTGCAAAGGAAAGGTAATTATTTGAACCTTGGTCCTGGTATTCAGTGCAAAGGCATAATTAACTGTTTGATACAGCTATAGACAACATTTTTTTTAACAGCCTGTTCCTCACTGCAGGGAATATTTGTGCATGATGAAGAAAGTGTTGAAAAACCTGGAATATTTCAAATGACTGGTTGGTCCATTTCAATGTATTAGACCACTGAGTGCACCAGATCTAAGATTTTTTATTCCATCCATGTATCATTTAGCTACACTGATAAATCATTTTTACAGAGCGTTGAGTTCTATTCTTCATATATAACTAACAGCACAATCAAGTATATTTACTGGCATGTAAGCCCCATTGTTTTCAAAGGCACTTACTCTCGGGTAAGCGTCAGTGTGATGTTACTTAGTTTTGGTCAGACTATAATCCTCAGTGAATTGATTTTTTAAAAACAAAACAAAAACAGTGAAAGAATTAAAATATTAACAATTACTGTTTCTTAAATAGAGAAATTAACACCGCTCTTGATAATAGACTGAACTAAGAGAGATGGGGGAATTCTCGTCTGAGGAAGTCGCTTAATGTTTTCTGAATTCATGGAGTTTCTCTCCATCTCTTTAAGAGCTGGTGAAATTCTTTTAAAAGACTCAAACTTCCATAACCTCATCCTGGCGTGGTATTAGTTTAAACTGGCAGATTACCATAGCTCACCACTTTCCCACAGACATCGCAGCTTTGTCAGTGAGGGGGGAAAAATCTGAGCCTTGTATTCCTGAACAATGGAAGTGAAACCCATTTGGCCTTGCCAAGCAAAAGATTTTCTTTTAAAACGGCTAATTAGAAGTACATCCACAGATAAGTTGCTTCTCTGTGATGGGAGACGGGAGCTTTTTTGGCAAGGGATCTTATTTCTGTTTTTCATTGCTACCTCTCTGGATCTGAAGTGGGTAGCTTGCATGCCAGCTGGCTTGCTTGCATGCCATATGCATCTCAAGATCCCTCTGGAATTGAAGTGTGACTCTCCAATAAGTCTAATCTAAGTGCTTATCTGTCCAGTACCTGCAATTACAAGCCTAACTAAAGAGGAGCAATGGATAACAGTATGGCAGCACCTTTGCTTTGAAACTCCCTGGCTGTTGACTTTAAGCATGTGCCTTTACTATACGGTTTAAGACACCTGCTGAACATTTTTATGCCCCAGCAAGACACATGATGTAGTGAAATTTGTTCTAAACGTTTTCTTGATTTTATGTTTGTTTTAATTAACGATGCTTTCATGCATATTTGTTTTCATTGGTTTGTGTATTATAATCATGTTTTATAAGTGTATTATAATCATGTTTTATAAGTAACTGAAGCTTTACTTTGATTTTTTTAGAAAATATGCACAAGCAGTTTATACATTTTCATTAAAAACTTAATATTCAAGCCATTGCCATTTTTAAAAAATCCAATGGGATCCAAAATAGGAGGCAGTTTTAGTGCAAGCATTTGCTGCCACTATAGAGGTCCAAACAGCTGGAAACAACAGCTCTTGCCATTAAAGCCTTATTGCATACCTTATTGCGCTTCCATCCCAAGTTCTGATGGGTATTTTATTCAGCAACAAGAGACTGCCAGCTTACCCCCTCCACCATTCTAAGCCTCTAAACCAGCATTTTGTTTTGTTTATGCATACATAAATACTATTACTACCAGAGGTTTTTTGGGGTGACTTACAAGAGAAGAACAACAGTAAGTTAAAATAATCACACTTAGGTTCAGTCCAGAATTTCTCTGAACAGAGTTCTGCTCTGAGAGAACGGGGAGGTGATCTTTACTGATTCCTCTTTCCTCCTGCAGCTGCCTGAGAAGCTGTCCTCCAGGGTTGTAGGACCCTTGAGGGCAACATGAAAAATGGTGTACAGACTGCAGGCCAAAGGAATCATTTAGGATCCTTGAACATCACGTCCACCCACCCCTGTTCATCCAGCTAGGAGCCTCTGCTGCATCTTGGCGCCTTCTGTGAATAGAAGGAGCCATTCATGAAGCAGCCTCTCTGGAGCCAGTCCAAGGGAAATACAGCAAATAAAACACAATTGCCTAACAAAGGAGTGGCCAGTCAGAAGGCATAAAATGCACCTCTCACATGCAGAAGGCCACTTCACAGCATCTGAAGACAGGGAGTCGAGCTCTCAAAAGCTTTCACCACAATACATTGGTTCATCTTTAAGGTTTCACAAGGTTTCCTTGCTAACCAGAATTAAAAAGTGGCTGTTCTGGAATTTTACCGATTATTAACAGCTCCCATTTATCCTCTTTGGGAGCTGTTAAATATATAGAAACAATATGCATGCCTTTCTCGGAAAGTGTTTAATTGTTAATGCAAAAACCATCACTTTTTATCACAGGCAGTCATGACAGTAGCTGAGGATTTGTTGCGTTCAGCTTCTCAGAACAGCCGCATCTCAATACAAAGAATGCAATCTGGATGGCTCCTGATAGCTGCCTTAATGACATTGGGTAAGACTGACTAGCCCACTCATTATTTATTTCAATATATGAATGTGGCGTTCTGCACATCAGCTTGGTATGGTGGTTTTTTAGTTTATTTTGCAAGGAAGAAATCCTGGCTTTTTATATTCTAATTATTCACCTCAATAAACACTCCCACCCAGCTGGTGATTAACTTGGGAACACGGATAACCTAAATAGTTACAACATTATCGTTCTCCTGAGAGTGTTCCCATTACAGCACAAGGGCATGCATTGAAAACTGTAAAGTGTGCCCATTTCTGGTTTAAATGCCTTTGTTTTTGCTACATGTAAGTATGTATCAGAATTCCATACTGTGCCCAGTAGGTGGGGAAGTTATCCAGTTGGCTCATGCACTGACAGGCAAAAGTGGTTGCACGCTAAGCCTGTAACATATTTTAAGCCATACTGAATTGTATAATATTTCCCCCCTCACACCAGTGACTTTTTAATTACCGTATTTTTCGCCCTATAGGACGCACTTTTCCCCCTCCAAAAATGAAGGGGAAATGTGTGTGCGTCCTATGGGGCGAATGCAGGCTTTTGCAGAAGCCTGGAGAGCGAGAGGGGTCGGTGCGCACTGACCCCTCTCGCTCTCCAGGCTTCAGGAAGCTATCCGCAAGCCTTGAGAGCCCAGCGCGATGTCGCGCCAGGCTCCCAAGGCTTGCGGACAGCAGCCTGCAGCCGGAAACCCAGGGAGCGCAGCCGAGTGCACCCCGGGCTTTGGGCAGATATCCGCAAGCCTTGGGAGCCCGGTGCGACTTCCCGCCAGGCTCCCAAGGCTTGCGGACAGCAGCCTGTTCTGGGGTCGGGGGAAGCTCGGGCTTCCCCCGACCCAGCCCCGTGCCTGGGGGGGGGGGGGAAATAATTTTTTTTTATTTATTCCCACTCCCTCAAAACTAGGTGCGCCCTATGGGCCGGTGCGCCCTATAGGGCGAAAAATACGGTATTTAATAAGCACCAAAGTTAATAAACGGTGAAGTCGGTAGCTATATGCAGCACACATTTGTTTTTACAATAGTAGTCAGTCTTAAGTTAGCAAACTTAACTCTCCCCTCCCTTTTAACAACAACCATTAACAACAAAGCAATCTGCATGGAGGGAGTCTGAAATATGCATCAAGAAAAGGTAAGTGTGAGATTCAACTAATGAATCCCTTCAACAGAAGCCCTAAACAAGGACTTGTGCTTGCATACCAGGGCTTTTCATCCCCCTGACAGTGGCTGGGGTGGGAGTTGAGAGATCCCTCTGAAAAGTGTGTGAGCTAGGGAAAGAGGGAAAGCTGAAATGCTTGCCCTGACACAAGGTTGAATTCCTCCCTGAATTCTTGAGCTCATGATAATTATGCAAAATAATTCATGTCACCTCTAGCTAGGGATTATGCACACTCAATTGCCTAGTCCAGGCACAGGCCAATCTACAAAGCTGGAATCCTATTTTTGGATGAGGGCTGGATTCTGTTTCCCCTGTCTTTATGCTCTGCTGAACAGCTGATTGGTTTAATTCCAGCTCCTCATTTCCCCATTAGCTCCTTTTACTGGCCTATATATGCACCAACCAAGCTGCAGTATATGTGCTGTTTCAGATGGAGGCCTCGCCACTCCTGATTTTAGTTAAAATATTTTCATTTTTACCTTAAAAGTCTTAGAGTTTAGATTGATGTATTGATTGTTGCACAAGAGGACATATGGTGGAAAGAGGAGAACAGCAGGTTGTACTACGCCTTGTCATGAACGGAATATGTAAGCAAAACCCAACAGGAAAAGCAATTGTTTAAAACAAAGGTGGTAGTATGGACTGTGTTTTGATTCACCTGCCACTCCTGTACAGATTGCTTGTGTAGCATGGCACAATACGGTGTTGGTGATGATTTTAATTTATTACCCATTATTCATCCCAAGGTTCCAGCAATTTAAAATAAAACATCAAAAACTGTTCAAACCAAGTTGCAATTGTAAAAGTAGGTTGAACCCTATATATATATATCTTAGGCATCAAAGGCCAGGGTTACAAATAGCATTTTCAGCGTACGCCAAAAACTATATAGTGAAGGTGCCAGATGCACTCTGTGTTCATAAGAATCACAGAATTGTAGAGTTGGAAAGAACTTTGAGGGGCATCTAGTCCAACGCCCTGCAATGCAGGAATCTCAACTAGATCATTTGGGTGCTGTGGCTTATGCCTGGTTGGTGCAGTTCCATTTCAGCTAACAATGCACCTCTCAGATGTTGTTGGATTACAATTCCCATCATCCTTGAACCCTCTAGGCAGCTAGCAGGTGGTTTTTTGAAGGTTTGTTGTTGACATCAGAATTTTAGTGCATCGTATTAATATGAGAAAATGTCCAATATTAACATGATAGGTCCGGCCGTTGTTCAGCACCATCTTCCAAGAATGCTGTTATTGTGGAAATGTGCTTTCCCATTATCGCCTAAAGATTTAGAAACTGAGAAAAGCCGGGGTGATTCATTTACATGGCAAGTGACGCTGGAAAGCCGGGCAGGTGCTCTCTGTGGTATGTGGAATTTATCTTGGCTGCTTTGTAATTTCTCCCCTCTCTTCACGTTTTGAAGGAAAAATGATGTTCTCTTTTTTGACTTTGTGTGTATATGCAGTATACTTCCTGAGATCTCTTTTTCCCAGTTTCCCACTTATGGCGGAAATGATGGATTCAAGTACAAGAACTGTTCTTAACATTCCACAGTAAAACAAAGGGAATTTGACCATTTGCAGCAAGCCTACTGTTTAGAAATAGATGTTACCAGTTAGCTATAATAGACCAGATTATTTTTATTAAGCCTTTTTACATTTTTTTAGAGACACAAATAGATGTTAGACATATGAAACAATTCTATTGTTGGATTTCTAGGTATACATCTATAATTCATTATAAAAATAAAAGTTTACTTTTTAATAGTCAGTATCCTTCATCCCCAGCTATTAAAAGTTTTATCGTCCATTGTGGGGGCCTCCTTACAGATGAAGTGATTCAAAGATTGCTTCCTCCCCTCCCATGTGCTGTTGCTTTACTGACACAGTGAGTATTGCTGCTGAGCAGCACTCATTTTTAACCAAAGCTTTAATTTTGAGCTGTTGATTTCATAGCAAAAAATAAAAGCACTGAATATTTCTTTGGTGTTTTCTACAAATATCAACCAAGTAATGGTTTTGTGCAAATAGTTGTACTAATGTGGCAATCCAGGTTGAAATTTTATATGTGAAGGGAGAAAAATATTGCTTGGAAACTTCTACAGCAGTCCTTCATAGAGTCAGTGCAAGATTCTATCTGATACAGAAACTGGTTAACAGGTCCTTACTTGTGTGTTTGCAGCACAAAAAGCAGTAGTTCTTTCTTCCTTTTAAATGTATCATCATTTTTGTATAGTCACGAAGTCACAAAGTTTTAGAAGAAGCCAGACAACCATGTCTATAGCAGAATGCTATAAATTGTAAGGAGTTCAGGCAGACTGTTTCATCCTACCACACTTCAATGTTCAAACCCTACTGAACCTTCTTGGTCTCTCTTACTGGACTTAACTGTTTACTAGAATGTTTTAGGGCAGGATTCTTGCCATCCTGTTTTGGCTCCAATTCTGTCTGGACTCACCTGATGGGGAAGGGCTGTAGCTCAGTGCTAGAGCACCTGCTTTGTATGCAGAAGGTCCTGAGTTCAGTTCCTGCCTTCTCCAGATACAGCTGGGAAGGACTTCCTGCCAGATATCCCAGAGAGGCCACAGCTGGCCAGTGTAGGCAATACTGAGTTTAATGGACTAATGATAAGACTTGTTACAACGCAACGTCCTGTATTCACCTCAGTTCAGCATTAGAGGAAGTGATATTTTGAGAATTGCTATACAGTGGTACTTTGGTTTTCGAACGTAATACGTTCCGGAAGACCGTTCAAGTTCCAAAACGTTTGAAAACCGAAGCACAAAGGGCTCTCTGCAAATTCAATTGAGAAAATTGAAAAACATGCAGTGGAAGCCATTCGACTTCTGAGACACGTTCAAAAACGGAATCATTTACTTCTGAGTTTTTGGTGTTCGGGTTCTGAAACGTTCATCAATGGAGACGTTCGAGAACCGAAGTACCACTGTACATATATAGTGCTGTACAGTGGTTTTAATTTTTTTTAAGCTTTCCAGACACTGAATTTTAGGTGAGGTACAAAGCAAACTAGTAGCTGGAATTTGTTGGATAGATGTTTTTCTCTTTTGACTTTAGTATGTGGTTTTTTATGTTTTAAGGCTTCCTTCACTAACTAAAACCTATGGCAATCCTTTAAAACCTTCAGCAGTGATGTACAGGAAAAGACTTTATGAACTGCTTACTTTGTTGCCTCCAAAGAGCTATGAAGGTAAGTCATCAAGCAATAATTCCCTGAAATACTTCCAAAGGTTTTGTTCTTGTCCTTTTTGTTTTATGGACAAATGGACAAACCAGTCTTATTTTAATGGAAAAGTAATTTAACATCATGAATTTATATTTATACCAAATGTGTGGATAGTAATCAAGCCAAAATTTTATTGAGAGAGCTGTTTCCCAGGAGGGCGGCCATTTATACAGCGGTTTATGGAAAGAGAGTTTCACCTGAATGAAGTTTAAGCCATATCTAGAGTACCTGGGAAAGGAAAAAATGCCGCTTGCCTGCTCTGATGGCCTTTGTTGCTTAATTCAGACATCACACCAAACCAATTGCAGGAGGGCTCCCCAACACTTCACAGAAGCTTTGTGGAGGTTGCAGACATGGAGTAGGGAAATAAAAGGACTGGTTATGCAAGCTGCCTTCTGCTCACATAATCACTGAATACGAATAGAAAAATGACATTCATTCCAAAGTAACTTTTGTGTTCAATACAACTAAACCTGACTTGTAACAAAGCTGTTACAAAAGCTAAAAAGTGTTGAAGTGAAAGAAAGGGGTTGGACTCGATGGCTCTTGTGGTCTCTTCCAACTCTATGATTCTATGAAGAGAAAGTGTAATTCTGTTAAACATTTTTGTTTGTTTGTTTACTTCAGTAACTTGTGTTTTTAGGTAGGTACATGAATTCATTTTTGTGCCCATGCTGTCTTTCAACCTGACCACGATGCTCTACAAACTGTGGGATTTTCTGAAATGGTTCATTACATTTTTCTTTGGCTCAAAATATCTAATAGGATCCTTTTCCTGATATTATGAAGTTTTGACATTCCACATTTGTTTAACTTGTTTAGTGTTATGACTTGCCAAAAGGCACATTTATCAGAAGTCCCAAATACCATATGTACTTGGCAAGGGAGGTGCCATAATCATGAAGATGGACTTCCTGGGATGAGGCTCGTGTTCTGACCCCTGCAGTTTCCCCAAATGCTGTTGACTTGACGGCAGAATCTGTGGCAGTGGTAAACTGCACTTGCACTTCCCCTGATTCTTCTGTGTTAAAGATAAAAAAGAAATCTTGTCCTTAAGCACCTTGCCAATAATATCTTTAGATACTAGTTTTATATAAAAGTAATTTTCTTCTATCTCCTTAATTTACAGGAAGCTTCTCTGCTGTTCTCAAAGAACTAGTGCTTGATTTGACTCAGCCCGATAACCAGATGTCACCCTCTGCTGCTTACCTTCCATCTCTCTGTCACCAGGATGAACTTAACTTACTGGGTCCCTTACTACAGGAGACAGAGCACAGATTTATTGAAGAGCAGGTATGCTTCAGCAGTAACTTACCCATTCAGAGAAGGTAGTCTGATGTCTGGTGGTAACAATTGCACTTCCCCAATCTTTGCAGCTGTTCCTAGTTAACAGTATAGCTGGTGGAAGTCTGGAGTATGACCCATATTTGGTTTATGAGAGAGCTGCAGAAGGTGGTTCTGTGCCTAAACCCTTACCGCCAACATTATCCATTATTGGAGCAGCAACCCGTCTCTTTGGAGTCGTATTTTCCCATGTTGCAGAGTCTCAAAGGTAAAGAAAATTAAAAAGATCATGACTAGTGCATGTAAAACAGGCTGTTGCAATGTTCAGCACATTGGAATTTTTTTAAAAAAGTAAATGGTTATGTGGCCTGAGGACTCTGTGTAAAAATATATCTATATAAAATATTATACAGAAGCTGAATTAATTTTCAGCCTCAGGTTAGCTTATGTGTGAAAATAATGAGCTACCAAGAATTGCTGAGAAAGTGGTACTATTACCCATCCTGGTTCTGCATAGGTGAGATTTGAAATTGGTTTTCCCAGATCCAAATCCATTCATGTCTATCTGAAAAGTCTGAGACATCTTGATCCTTCTGGTTCCTTTAGAGCAGAAACTTCTACCAAAAATGTAGAAGTCCAGCTGGATTAGTCCATATGTCTGCCTGGTCCACAGTGTGTTGCCTGTAGTGGCCTGCCATGTCCTTTTGGAAAGGCCACTGTAGAGCATGAAAGCAAGAGCTCTCCACCACTGTCTCCATTCTACACTCACCCACCCCAGCCTGAAAACAACTGGCATTCCAAGGAATGCTGCCTTTGAAATAACATGCATGAACACTTTTCTGTTTCCCAATCTAGTTCTAATTTAATATTTCATGTGCATACACAACTTCTTATGAAGCTCCTTCACCTTCCTGTCCTGTCATTTTCTAATTCAGGTGCACAAGCATTTGTGAAACCAATCTGTGGTATAACAAGCGCATTGGGGGTCTATTGATGGTGAGCAGGTAGGAAGAGAATAGGCTGTGGGGAGGAAGAATAGTTAAAAGATATTGTTTGGCCATTTGTGATAGGCCACTTTGAATATTAATCCAGCCACTGTAGGAGCAGCAGCAATAGTTACTGGTTTCCCACCTGTTTTCTCAATCCTACATAACGTAATATCTTGCAAAATGCAGAACACAAACAACAAAATGCTTTTCATTTATGAAGTGTGGGTGTATATCCATATATGCAAATATGTTCACATGCATCACTTTTTAAAAACATAACAAAATATATGCAGTGTTATAGTAGTTACTTAGAATGATAAAGTTGGATGATAGTCTTTTTTTAAAGGGGTAGATAGAAAGAAAGGTGTACTAGATTGGGGTTAACAGACAATCAGAGAAAGGACCCCAAGGACACATTGGGAAATAGTGGGTTCTACACTAGGGGACATGCCACAGCAAAAGCAGTGTTCCCTGCTCAACAACCTGATATCTGCTGAACTTGCTGGAATAACAGAGAGATTAGTTATATCCCCTGTCTCCTCCTGTTCTTGTGTGTTTAAGGTTGCAAGTATTAGAACAATTATTGACATCTATAAAACAAACCAAAGGATCACGGCAGCAGATAGTACAGCAAAATGTTCTATCAGCATTTTCTAATGTTCTGAAGGTAAGAGTCTCCCTTTGTTACAAAAACAGGTCTGTTGGCTAAAAAGTGATTATACCTTATATATTGAAAGGTGTTATTATAGTGCTGTTTCTGTGAATTAGAAAATTTGAATAATACTTCTGAGAGCTCTGTGTCCTTGAAAATAAATCACATTATTGTGGCATTGTATTAAATTCCATACTCTTTGTAAGTATTCATCACCAGGAAGAAAATTTAGAGTTTGAATATAATTTCAATAAATGCAACTTTAAATATGCGTATTTGTTGCTTGCCCCTTCTAAAATGTTTTCTCTCTCTTTCTTTCTGTTTACCATCCACCAGATCTTGTCCTAGTTTTCTGTTTTTAGGCTTAGAGGTGCTTTATACACTTCTTTTTTTTGAAGAGAACATGTTACAGACTCTTTAACGTTTTGAGCACGTTTATTATTTCTTAACCTCGTGCACACTGTGGAATTGCATGATGGACACTGTCTTTTCTGACCTTTAAAACATGCTGAATTGACAAGGAGAAAAACTGGTGCAATGCAGGAATCCACATTCCACTATTGTTTAGAAACTCTCTAATGGAAACCATGTTTGTATAGCTGGAGGTGTCCTGTATTGGCAACATAATTATCTTCCTCTTGCATCTAGAGTCAAATGGAAAAATATGCTGCTATATGTGCAACCCACCTCTGTTTTCATCTGCTTGATGTTGTCTGGAAAAAACCTTTTCCCTACAGCTCATAAGCTGCTCATGCATGTGAAGATGGGTTATATATTTTATATTCATTTTTCAGGCATCATTGCCCAAAATTTAGCAGGTTAGAGTGGTAGAATAATACGACCTTTGGAACTACTCCTGTAGGGATATTGCATAGATAGTCTTTATCCCTGTAAAATTCTGTCTACTGTATCTACATACTGAGCTTTTAAAAAAATAAATCTTTTTTTGTTCTAGCATCTGGCTAGCTGCAAGGGAAATTTAGGTTCTGAAGAAATTCGAAGCTCTGCCCTGACCTTAGTGATGAGTGCCTTGGAAAGTAGTAACCCACTCTTAAGATGTTCTGCTGCAGAATCCTTAGCCAGACTTGCACAAGTAGCTGCTGACAGTACTTTCACTGCTGGATTGGTGCAAATTAGCTTTGACAAGTAAGACACTTCTTATTGCATTGTTTTGTTACATTGCACTGTACTACAAAATGAACTGCTTGGTCCTATGCATATATACTCAGAAGTAAGAAAAAGCTTCAAGGGTAGAGTTCATTGTCATGATGAATGTTCCATCTGTGCAAGCTTTTAAGTTTGCTAGATGAAAAAAATCTCCCATTTCTTCCCTCTGTGTGATGTTCTGGTGGTTCTCAATAGCTTTTTGAATGTCAAAGTACACTGTGTCAACCAGATGCTTGATGACATTCTTAAAGAATTCAGTGAAACAGGTCTTGCTCTTGCAGAAGCCACGCTCGCTCAGCAAGGCTTGTTCTTCTATAAGCTTGGTTATTTTCCCTTTAACAATAATTACGACTAGTTTTCCCAGGACAAATGTTAAGATAACCAGCCTGTAATTTCCAGGATCACTCTGTATCCCTTTTAAATAATTGGTGTGATATTTACTGCTTTACAGTTCTCAGGGGTGGAAGCTGATCTGAGGGGCAAGTTATGTATTTTTGTTAGAAGGTCAGCAATTTGACAGGTGGATGCCGTCCAGACCCAGTAATCTGTCAGTTTTCATTTTGTGTATTAGGTCAAGAACTTCATCTCTCATTACCACTATCTGCCTCAGTTTGTCAGATTCCCATCCTGCAAAAGTTAGTTTGCAAACTGCAAAAACCAGTTTTGAGATCTGCTGCTGTATATCTTCCATTGTGAATATTGATGCAAATAATTCATTCAGCTTCTCCTCTGGGTTCTGGGCAGAGGATACCACTTAGCTATGAGGAGACTTGACACCAGTAACATATTTTTTTCTATTTGCTTCACTAAAGTTATTTTGTAAATCTGGACTCAGTTGCTATAATCACCATTCTAATTTCATTTGATTTAACATGTATGTGACACTTTCCCCAAAACCAAGTTGAGCTCAAAGCATCTCTTACCCAGTTTATTTCTTATTTTTTATAATACATAGACTAAAATCTGCCAGAGATGTAATATCAAGAACAGGACATTCTTTGGCTCTGGGATCCCTCTATAGATATCTAGGAGGAATAGGCTCCACTCAGCACCTGAATGCTTGTGTTGGAATACTTTATACATTATCTCAGGACAGCACTTCACCTGAAGTACAGGTATTTATTGGATTCAACTGTTTTTCCTTTTTTTATTGTGTAAGTGGCTTTGAGGACCTTCAGGTGGAAAAGTAGTGTAACAGTTTTATTATTTATACCCCACCCATATATAACTGTGAACAAGCAAACCTTTAAAAAATGTTCTCTCATTTGAGTATTGTTTAATAGCCATTTTGTAAAGTATGTCTTCCTTCATAAAAGCAGACTTCAAATCCTCGAGCTGTTAACTTGGTTGTTGTTGCTCTTGTTGGTTCTTCTTCTTGTTGGCTGTGACTGATAGTGAACTGAGTTGGGGGAAGTGAAGACTCACCATGAAAGGCACATGAATCTGGGACAAAGGATCAGTGTCTGTTCAAAGTGCCCTATTCACTATCCTTTCCTCCTTGCAGTTCTTCTATTTATTGAACCCTCTACTTGCTTCTTCTGAAACAGAGATAGAGGGCAAGAGGGTGCTGGAATTTTCAAACTCAGGTCGGCAAGGACAGTGTTTGCTCCCTGAACTTACACACACACACACACACACACACACACACGGGGGGGGGGCATCAGCTCTTAGATAAGCATGAACACTTAGAGCTGATCTGCGTGGATTCCCACGTGGCACCACACCCCTCCTCTTACACGTGCTAGGGCTATCTATTCTGATCTCCATTTTAGATGCAGGTGTGGGAGAAATGCAGTCAAATCTAACAATGGATATTCTTTTCTAGGAGTTAAGGCCATAGAGCTTTATTGCTGATAGGCAGACTCAGACCATGGAAACGTAATTGGTAGAGAAGTCTCTGTGTGATGTGGTTTCCCTTCCTCTCCTGGGAGGAAGAAGCATATAGTATTCTCTGTTGTCAGCCAGCCATGAAGGAGGTGTGCCTCCGATCATTCCAGCATCATGCATATGCCTGAAGCTGTTTTTGCTGTAAACACAAGTATTTTACCTTCATTTACTTTTAATGCTGTTGCTGCTAAGGATGAATGTTCGACTGTGACAAAAATATAAACTGATCATGTTGTCTGTTAACCCACAACATGGGTCTGTAGGGGAATAACATATAGTTAATTATATTTCCTCACCTACCAAATAAAACCCATCAGCAGTTAAGTGAACGGCTATTGCCACTGAGGAAGGCAAGAAAGTTCAGGCCAGTTTATATCATGTCTATATTCATGTATGCCAGAATCGGTACTTACTCACTTCTCCCTTCCCTTAGCCCTGCCGTGAGGAGCAATTACATTTCTTCAGGTCATTCATCTTAAACTCCTATCATTTCCAGTCATGTTGTTGTACTGAATTATTAGCATATTATTTAGCACCATCTCACAGAAGTACACTCATTTTACACAATAATTTTATTTTTGGTCACAGTTTGCGAATTATTTTATGTTTGTGCATTTGTATGTGTGACAGCACAGCATTTTTGGTATTTTACAGACCTGGGCACTGCATTCTCTGTCACTGGTCATTGATTCTGCTGGTCCTCTGTATCACGTGCATGTGGAACCTACCCTCTCTCTTGTTCTTATGTTGTTGTTGACTGTGCCTCCTGCTTATGCTGAAGTTCATCAAAGCCTTGGTCGCTGTTTAAATGCACTTATCGCTACTTTGGGTCCTGAGTTGCAAGGTATGCACATATTTGCGACATAATGACAAGACAGGAACCAGGCTGTTGATTATGAAGTTGGGAGATAATGCTTTGCTAGTTCTCACTTAGTGAAATGTGTATGGAGTACAGGAAGAACTAAAACCATGTTCAGACTTCTGCATATCGGGACGAATTCTTTTCCCAAGTATTGCACAATCACATCATTAGCTTGGGTGTCTCCGGCTGTAGTTGGACTACTACTCCCAACATCCCTGACTACTGGCCCTGCTAGCTAGGCATGATGGGAGTTGTAGTCCAACTACAGCTGGAGACACAAGTTTCAGAAACACTGGTGTAGTTTGTAGCCCTCAAAGCTCATTTAATGGATAAATTGAATGTGATCTGCAGGCTTCTATTCTTGAGTGCTTCAAATGACCAGTGCTCTTTTCCCCTGGCTGGAGAACCCCTACTAGTCTTGAGGTCTAGGCAAATTTTCCCTCTGGGTGCATATAGGTGCCCTTCTCCCTGATTGCCTAGATCAACTATCTGATTGAGGCCCAAGCAAGTGACATTGACCATGTTCTTTGCCCTTGGGTGTGTGGTTTTTATTGCAGAAATTAGCCAGTGCAGGGTGAGAGGTCATTCAAGGACCCTGGCATGGAAGGTAGGGTGTTCAACCACTTGCTGCCTGCTGCAATGTGGATTGAGATCTCATGTCTGCAGGGTGGGCAGCGGGAGAAGGAACTCCTAATGAAGCTAATCAGGTTTTTTCTCATGCAAATTGCCAGCACTGGGGGCCTAATCAGGACTGTAGCCACCACGGGAAAGGGGTAAAGCCTAGTCCCGTGCCAGTGTCCCAATATGCATTGCCCCTGCACAGTTCTGGGGCTTTAGAGTTAACATCTTCCTCCTGGCCAATTTGTCTCAATAATTTCTATTATTGCCCTTTTTGTATGGGGAAATGTTTTTTTACATATACCGTATTTTTTGCTCTATAAGACTCACTTTTTCCCTCCTAACAAGTAAGGGGAAATGTGTGTGCGTCTTATGGAGCAAATGCAGACTGCGCAGCTATCCCAGAAGCCAGAACAGCAAGAGGGATTGCTGCTTTCACTGCGTAGCAATCCCTCTTGCTGTTCTGGCTTCTGAGATTCAAAATATTTTTTTTCTTGTTTTCCTCCTCCAAAAACTAGGTGCGTCTTGTGGTCTGGTGTGGTGCGTCTTATAGAGCGAAAAATACGGTAGTTTTGTTTAGTTCAGGGACTTTATTGTTTGATGTTTTGTGAGCCTATGTATTTTCAGTTACGTATTTCTGTTTTTTTAAAATGTTAGAAGTAATCTAGAAGATTTAGCGTAGGCGGTGCACACACTGAACAAATAGTAATGCAGTTTTTGATGTTGTTAACTTCTATCTGAGTGAAAAGAACATGACAGAGGGAAATCTTTCTCCTTCCTTCTTTGTCCTCTGTTATAGGCAGCAGCACTACAGTTTCAGCCTTGAGGGCATCTTGTCTCCTAGGCTGTGCAGTGATGCAAGATAATCCTGACTGCCTTGTCCAAGCTCAAGCCATCTCTTGCCTTCAGCAACTTCATATGTTTGCTCCTCGTCATGTAAACTTGTCTAGCCTCGTGCGGTGCCTGTGTGTAAGTACATATTTACATGTTAAGCTTTGCCTCTTTTTGTAACTTTGGAAACAGAGCATTGGAACCGCAGCTTTAAAAATTGTTAATGTGCCATACTTTTTTAGTCATTAAAGTCCACTTTTTCAGACGCATAAACTGAAACATGCACTACTTCCATGAGGCAGGTTAATTTCTTTGAATACCTGCCTTTTCGGGGTGGGAACTGAAAATGAACAAATTGTTCTGAGGAAACAATTTATAAATTTTTGTTGGAAGTATGGTGAGTCTTTGGTTACTAGCAGAGCGTCCTGGGATATTGCAAAGTTCTCTCACTGGCTTCTGAAAATTGTCGGTGTGGTGTCTGGTTTGTGTTTATCTTTTAGTGTAACCACTTACTGGTTCTGTCCTGTGTGGGCAGCAGAAGAATATTGCTAGCAGTTTATGGCATCTGTGTATCACATTACAATATGTGCTAGTAAATGATTCCTTGATCGGTCTGTAAAATAATGTTGCCTGAGTTGGAATGAGACATAGGAAACATACAAAGTTAGTGAATGCTTTTGCCACGTCTTCATTCTAAAATACTGAAATTTTTGAATAGAAATATATGGACTTAATGTTGTCCAAGAGAAAAAACTCCCACATATTATTTTATAATGAATCTTTAGAGACACTTCATTGGTGCTACCCCACTAGCCCATTCTGCCTTCCTCAGCCCCCACATGACTTACTTAAAACCAGTTCATAGGGAGGCCCTGGTTGTCAGCTTCTTCCTCATTAGTGTCTGTGTTCCCCTTGTAGAAGACAGCAGAGAGAAGGATGGGGACAAAACTAGAATTACTTGGGTTATGATTCCACCTACCTTTCATCTCCCTGCCTTCCACTCTTCCAGTCCCAATGAGCCCCAGTGTAGAGATTTGGTGGGCATAATTTTATATCAGACTGTGTGATGATTAGGCTCTCTGTCTAGCTCTGGCAGCACATGGGGTCCTATGACTTCAGAGTACTAGTTGTGAATCACTCCTGACAACTTTTGGCTGCAATCCAAAGGCAGCCACTGCTCATAGCATCCAAGCTTCTCTAGATTAAGACCTTATATGAACTATCCCATCTTGCTATAGGTATTGTGGTCTGCTTTTTCTTTTTAAAAAGCAGCAAGTACTTTGGTGTAAATTTAAAAATATAAATTGGTTTCAAATGCAATTTAACATTATCAGTTCATTGTTTGTTTGTTTGTTTGTTTCATAAGATTTATAAACTGCTTGTTTTTTTTGTTTTTTTTAAAAAACAACCCTCAAATCAGGTTTACAAAAGATAAAACAGTAAAATCATTAAAGCTGTTTTCAGCAGTTAGTATTGGCATTTGGCTTTTTCATTTTAAGCACCTGGAGTAATATGTAATGAAAGTTGAAATGTGCAAGTGCTCATCTTGTGGCAGTAAATTTGTTTTCCATTGCTGAAGGTTGGGATCACTATGGGTTCTGATACCTAGGTTTTGTCATGACTGGATTATCATTTGTTTTTGTGCAGGAGATCTTGTTGGAAAATTCTGTGTTGGTAGGTCTCTGTGCACTGTTAAAATTTCAGCAATTTTCAGTGTTCTTCTTTTAATTTTCTCATTTTCTCTATTTAACCATTAATGTCAAGAAAAACTTTTAGCATGTTGAGTTATGTTTTGTTCCGGTCTAACCAAATTCTTTCTTAACATTTTTATAGCTGGCACACACACTTTGCTGTGTATATTTTATTTTTGTGTCTATTTTATTTTTGCATTAGTTTAACTTAAAACATCTTAAACTAAAAAAAAAATAAAGAGAGAGACCACCATTTTAAGGGTGTGTGGGTGTGGTTTGTATGTGTGGTTTGTATGTACTGCTTGCATTTTTTTCTGTCTTTGTTTTTGCCATTTTCGGTCTCTTAAAAATGAAAGAGATCAGAAATGGGCATTGTTATCTGTCTTGCAGTTAAGCTTGTGTGTTTTGGCTTTTTCATATAAAAAAAGGAACCGGCATTTTTTTAAGCATGCATAAATCTCAGTGTGAGCTCAGCTTGAATCAATGTTGCATAAAGCATTTGTATACTTGAAATCTTAACTTCAAACATCTTATTATTTTTTGGTTTCTTAAATATGTGCTAGGCATATTTTTCTATGCATCAAATTACCTTTATAAGTTAGTGTGCATGCAGCAACGTAAGAAATTATTAGATGCAGACTCGGTTTGATTAACTGTGAATGCATAGCACTTTTTGTGTCCATTTTACCTCCTTTCGTTACTCCTATCATTCTGATGAGTTCCCATTGACAAATGAGGTACATGACCTCCCAACAAGGTTTCTTTGTAGCATGCATCCAGCTCTGCCCCATTTTTCAGGCTTCTAAATGGACACAAGATAGCAAATGATAAAAAAACTTGTTAACTTCCTCTGTAATTCCATGCTCATTTAGTTTGTCTCATTGTAATTTTAGAACCTCCATTTAAACTTGAATTCTAGTAGATACTATCATTATGGCCTAGACATAATTCAGCAAGTTTAATATGCTCGGGGATTTATTGAGAGTAGTTTTAATGAGTCTGCAAAATTTGTACATTTTAAATATGTCTGCGTTTGTAAATTAAGATGATGAAATTCTCTAAACTAGTATTGAAACAGCAATATTTTGGTGGCTAATGTAAGAGAGCTGCAGGCTTTGCTAAGGGGGTATTTGTAGTATGCCATATCCATTGGTAGAGAGCCTGTTGTTGTTGTTGTTATGACGTCTATACTTCCTTTCAAGGGACGCGGGTGGCGCTGTGGGTAAAACCTCAGTGCCTAGGACTTGCCGATCGTATGGGTGGCGGTTCGAATCCCGCGGCGGGGTGAGCTCCCGTCTTTCGGTCCCAGCTCCTGCCCACCTAGCAGTTCGAAAGCACCCCCAAGTGCAAGTAGATAAATAGGTACCGCTTTATAGCGGGAAGGTAAACGGCGTTTCCGTGTGCTGCGCTGGTGCTGGCTCGCCAGAGCAGCTTCGTCACGCTGGCCACGTGACCCGGAAGTGTCTGCGGACAGCACTGGCTCCCGGCCTCTTAGGTGAGATGAGCGCACAACCCTAGAGTCGGACACGACTGGCCCGTACTGGCAGGGGTACCTTTACCTTTACTTCCTTTCAAAGGGATGTGGGCGGCGCTGTGGTCTAAACCACAGAGCCTAGGGCTTGCCAATCAGAAGGTTGGTGGTTCAAATCTCCACGACGGGGTGAGCTCCCGTTGTTTGGTCCCAGCTTCTGCCCACCTAGCAGTTCGAAAGCACGTCAAAGTGCAAGTAGATAAATAGGTACTGCTCCGGCGGGAAGGTAAACGGCGTTTCCGTACGCTGCTCTGGTTCTCCAGAAGTGGCTTTGTCATGCCGGCCATATGACCCGGAAGCTGTACACTGGCTCCCTTGGCCAATAAAGCGAGATGAGCGCTGCAACCCCAGAATCATCCACGACTGGACCCAATGATCCCATTACCTTTACCTTATACTTCCTTTCACCTGAAGATCACAGAGCGGTTTACAATATAAAAACACAAAAATATGTAACATAGTAACAAACAAAAGTAATCCCGCCCCCCTAGTTTAAAAGGCCATAGGTTGTTTAATTAGCCAAAGGCCTGGGAGAAGCAGGCTGGTTTTGTCTGGCTCCTAAATATATATAAGAAAGCAACAGATGAGCCTCCCTGGGGAGAGCATTCCCTAAGCAGGGAGTCACAGCAGAAAAGGCTTGTTCTCCTGTTGCTGCCCTCCAGACCTCTAGTGTATAAAGAAGGGCCTCAGATGATGATCACAGGGTCCAGGTGGGTTCATATGGTGAGAAGCATTGCAGTCCCGAGTCATTTAAGGCTTTATAGGTCAAAACCAGTGCTGTGAATTGGGCTCAGAAACTAATGGGCAGTCAATGCAGTCAGGCCAGGATTGGTGTTATATTAGTTCAGTATCTTTGATGTACTGTGTATATGTAAGAAAGACATCAATATTTCACCATTCATAGCATCCCTTATTATATTATCATTCACAGATAGGTAATGTTGGGACAGACTTCTGTCTGAAACCCCAGAGAGCCATTGTCAGTCAATATAGGATAGTGCTTAACTAGATGGGCCAGTGGCCTGATTCAGTAAAAGACAACTTCCTAGCCATATTATAACATTTTAAATGTTCTATTTAAAATGATTATATGCCTGTGATGTGAATGGCATTTCTTTGAAGGTGCAAAATAATAAATGATGCTTATTAATTGACTACAACCAAAAATAGGTTTTATTTTATAAGGGTTTAGTTTATTCATAGCTAAAGTAGTTGAAATCTTTCTGTTCATTTGTTTTTAAACAAATATTTGTATCCCACCTTTCTCCCAAGTGTGTTCAAGGTGATTTACAACAGAGAAACTTAACATGCAACAATAGATGGAACTGTTAACACCAGCCAGACACAGTCAAGATAGTGGAGGTTGACTCAGATATTTTTACTACTGTCCTCTGGCTTTTTCTTCTCTAATATCTGATTTCTAATTTTGTTTCAGAAATGTTATTGCTTAAAGAACTTCAGGTTCCTGTCTTTCAGATACCACCTATAAAAGTGCAACCCAGATTACATCCTTTGTCTATATATTTCAGGTGAATCTCTCTAGTTCATATCTGTTGTTGAGGAGAGCAGTACTAGCTTGTTTGCATCAGCTTGTACAAAGAGAGGCAGCTGAGGTATCTGAACATGCTGTGGCCCTTGCTAAAGACAGCAGAGAAGACTTTAGTCCAGGTAATATTGAGATTCAACCTTGTACCAGTGGATGCAACAGGACTTCTCTCTCCTCTGTTCTCCCAAACCCCCAGAGTAGATTCTGGGGGAACGCAGGGGATTGCAGGAGATGAGGAAGGAGCAGGGAGTCCTGCTAGTATAAGCAGGCCACCATAGCTGGGTGTCACTCATCATGTTTTCCCCTCTTAAATATTTTTTTGGTTTTGTGTAACTTGTATCTTGCCATGCAAAACCCTGCAGATATTTGTGTATTGCAAACTGACTGCTTGGAGGCACAAAAGGCACATGTTTATCTGTTCTGACCTATGGTTCTTCAAACTGAAGGACTGGGAGTTTGACTGCTGCACCACATCAGAAACTATATCCTCCTATAAAACTGTCATGCCAGAGAGATGAATCTGTCTCAGTCTTCTGTCTCGCAGGCTAGTTTTGTATGTGCAAGGTGGGTGGGGTCTTTTTTGGGGGGGGATTGCATAAAATCACTCACTTTGCAGTCTAAAGCAGTAGAATGCAGAAACAGACACATGTTGTTTCTTATTTGCCTGTTTGGTCTCTGATTTGCACACTTTGCTCAGAAAGGCATGCCTGGCTTTCTGCTTTCTGGATACACACAGTAATCCTTACTATGTCGTACTTGTCTTTTTGATGCCTACTGAAGACCTTCCTTCTTTAAGCTGAGACTGTTCCCAGTATTGGAATTACTTTAAAGATGTATAATCACTTGTTGCTTGCTGTGCTGGGTCACTTTGGAAAGAAGGGTGGAATACAACTGAAATAAATAAGTATTTTTATTGACGTAAATGGCTTGTAGGAGCTTATTTCTGAACTTACATTGTAACCTGGGATGTAGCTTTCATGATCTGTTGAAACACCAGCTTCATCCATGGCTGGTTTTGTGCCATAGAGGTAACCCAACAGAAGGAGGGGCATGGAAGTGTACAGCCCTTCTTTTGGAGTCTGCTACCCATCCTGACCTAGCTAGTTTGTGGTCTGCTGTCTGAATGGACAGGGATCAGCATAACTCCTCCCCTTAAATTGTGACTACCTCTGTCAGAAGTGGTCTATTGCTGTGGCTCTAAAAATGACACTTCCCCCAAGACATTTTCTTACTATATGGAATCATGGGGGGAAATCAGAGTCATGGTATGGAGGCAGGGAATGTCTTGAAGTGTGTTTGGTTTTAGTTATGCTTTGGGCATTAATGATGCTAGAGAGATGAGATGAGCAGCAGCCTTTTGATATTATTTCAGGGTTAAATATTTTGCCACAGTATTGCACTTAAAAACTTTTGTCAGCTTTTACGTGCTGTGATTCATGCTTGTTTCTCGGCAGATGAATTCAGATCACACTGTTGTTGCTTTTACAGGCATTAACATCAGAGAAGTAGGCCTTGAAGGTGCATTACTGAGCTTATTGGACAAGGAACTGGATCCAAAACTATGCCAAGATATCAGAGAGACCCTGAGCCATATGCTTATATCAATGGGAGTGGAAAAACTCTCTTTCTGGCTTAAACTCTGCAAAGATGTTCTAGCTGCCTCTGCTGGTATGTGCTGATGCCTTCTTCCTAGAAAATAGATTTTCTCATTAGATAAATGAATCAATGAATCAACTGACCATACTATCAACTGATATCTTAACCTATTTTGCAAGTAATTTCATGTAATAAGTGAGAAGAGTGACTCATAAAAACTTCTAAGTCGGAAGACCACAGAGGAAAAGGAGGAGCCTCATGCAGCGTGATCATTGGAGACCCTCCTCCAGTGACATCAGAAGGGAGTCAGGTGGCCCCAGGGAAATGGGCCTTCTCAGTGGTGGTACTTAATTTTATGTGATTCTCTTCCTAGCAAAGCTTTGCTGGTGCCTACTTCTTGGCACAAAGAAAGACCTTTTTACTTTCCTAGACATAGCTGCTGGTAGTTTCTATTACAGTGGTACCTTGGAAGTCGAACGGAATCCGTTCCGGAAGTCTGTTTGACTTCCAAAGCGTTCGGGAACCAAGGCTTCCTGCAGCCAATCAGAAGCCACTGAAGCAGTGACAGACATTTGGTTCCAAAGAACGTTCGCAAACTGGAACACTCACTTCTGGGTTTGTGGCGTTCAGGAGCCAAAACGTTCAACTCGCAAGGCGTTCGACTTCCAAGGTACGACTGTAGTTTTGTTACATTGTTTAACATAAATAAGTTTCCTTTGCATCACTCCCCACACCTCTTGCTCTATTTCCTTGCTCATTCCTCCTCCCTATCTCTATTCCTCCTGCTCCCCTTCTGCCCTGTTATACACCCCAAGTCTTTGATGGGTACTGCTGCAACAGTACTCTGATCCATTAAGTGTTTTGCACTTTACCTCCCTGTATCTCAATGCAGATTTCATCACAGTGGCTTCAGTGGACACTACCCAAGAAGAAGAGGGAGCTCAAGGGGATGATGAATTTGCATTAGCTTTGGAATACAATGAAAAGCTGCAGCCCTTCCCTCATCCTCGATGGTCTACTAGAGTATTTGCTGCAGAGTGTGTGTGTAAAATTATCGGCCAGTGTGAGAATGCAGGCAACGCTCACTTTGACATAGCTCTGGCACAAGAAATGAAGCAAAGAGATTCAAGAGGTATGTCCTCATGTTTATGCAGACATCCAACTGCAAGTAAGTGGGTATAGGATTTCAGTCTAAATTTAATTTGACAAACTGTAGCTTAATGGGAGCCAACAAAATCTCTTTGCAGCTATTGCAACAGACATTCATTGAGGTGCGTATTCAGATTATTGTTAGTACGCTCACTTGTGAACGAGAGAAAAATGAATAGTCTTGAAGAACAAAGAGGTTTGTAGATTTATTATGGCACAAACTTTTCAGAGACTAGAGTCAACTTAATGCAGATAGTATTATTAGATACATGTTGTATTGTCCTCAGTTGGCAGCTGGAGATAGATGGGTGGGAGGAAATGTAACAGTGGGGTCAAATGGCTATTTGAGTAAAAAACCAAACCACAGTATGGCTTCCTGTCCTGCTACATATGCTAAGCTGGCATCTAGCGGTAGCCATTCCTCAGACTATAGGGGAGAGAGATGGTTCTACAGATCCTTTCTGCCAGCTCTGCTGAAAGGCCAGACATTTTGCTCATCCTCTCCTTGAACTGTTTCCATTCCAGCTGGGCAATTTCAGTAACTCTGTAACTATGAACTAATGCCCGAGATTGCCTTTTCCCCTCCTCCCTCCCAATGTTTCCTCCTTTTTCTGTAATGTCTCTTAGATGTTAATCCTCAAGGTAGGGGATGTTTTTATAACTTGTGGCTTTAGACTACTCTGGAGCCTTTTTTGACTGGAGAGTAAATCTGGGATTTTGTCATCCAATGCTGCTATTGTGTTATTTTGCAGACATTTGAACTTTAATTGAATTAACATGGACTTTTTATATTTTAAGACCATTTTGGCCTGCTTTTTCCATATAGAAACATCAACTTGAGGGTAATGGTTTACGCTTCTGATGAAATGAAATCTGGTCCATAAAGTTAATGCCATAATAAATCTGTTACATCTTTTAGATGTCTCAAAGATGTAAATCTGTTACATTTAGATGTTTTTTTCTGCTACAGACTAACACAGCTTTATCCCTGGAAGTTAATATTACTGAAGCAAACTTTTCCAGATGTTGCACCTAAAATGTTGACTCTACGCAGAATGTTGACAATCTGCAGTTGTTATTGGTGGTTTCCTGGTTCAGCAGGAAATGATGCCTAGTTATGTATAGGTGTACAATTCAGAGGATGGGAAAGAAGAGGGGGTGGGAGATAGGCATCAATGCTTTAAGTGTCCACACTAAAATACATTTTTCGTATTAACAAAATGATGTTTTCCTTCCCCACACCGCCAGATGATTTCCTAGTACTGCACTTAGCTGACTTGATCCGCATGGCTTTTATGGCTGCCACGGATCACAGTGACCAGCTTCGTCTTTCTGGCCTTCAGATGTTGTTAATTCTTGTTCGGAAGTTTGCTACTGTGCCGGAGCCAGAGTTCCCAGGTCATGTGATTCTGGAACAATATCAAGCAAATGTAAGTAGGCTTTTGGTTCTAGAGGCATTTGAAAAATAAAATGCATATTAAGAGTTAACCCTACATCGCACTTGAAAACTTGTGTTATAAAGGAATATATTATTGGCGTCTTACTACACAGGCTGAATAGAATTGATAACAATAGCCATCACTGTAGTGAATCAAGAGCTGATTTTGTAAATGTGTGGTGGAACTGGCCTAAAATAAACGAATTGTTGGAAAATATTTTATAACATATGTTACTTTAAATTAGCTTACCAAATTACCAGTATAAAGAGTAGCAGAAACCAGAAAGCCTCTGTGGCAACTGAAATGTATAACTTGGTCCCAAAATGTTCATCAAGTTGGCAAGCGATTAGGAATAATTCTGCATGTTGCACCTTTTGCCTTTTAAGAGAATCATACTCAGATTTGTAAGAATATGTTAACTGGGCCAGTTTCTTCAAAATATTCAAATATTTTTTAGCATGTTATCAAATTATTTTATTTTAGGTTGGTGCAGCACTTAGACCAGCTTTTACTTCTGAAACACCACCTGATGTAACAGCAAAAGCATGCCAGGCAAGTTTTTTAAAACTATATATATATAGAATTCAAATTTCATCAACTCTTGACCAATCACAGGTAAAACTTGATAAAGATTATATCTTTATCTTGTCTCTTAAAAATTAGTATTCGAGACTGCTTCACCTCGGAACATTAAATATGATTGCATAATGGGTTTGCCAGAGCAGAGAGAAAGCTAATAACCTAAGTAAGTAAGTAAATAAGAGAGCACAAACCCAGGCATAGTGTTTTGTAGCATTACAAAAATAACTATATTGTTTGCTGTTCTATCATACTAGGTTTGCAGTGCCTGGATAGCAAGTGGTGTAGTAAGTGACCCTAGTGACCTTCAGAGGGTTCATCAATTGCTTGTGACATCCTTGACCAAAATACAGGTGGGACAAGAAGCCCAAAGTCAACTGTACAATGAAGGCACATCAGTTATGGAGATCCTAGCTGTGTTGAAAGCTTGGGCAGAGGTACTTTTTAATATACATATTTATGGTGGCACTAGCACTTTGCAATTATAACTTGTGGATCAGACATTTGAATATCTACAGGGGTCAACTTCTAGTTTTGAGTTGTGGTGTTTGGAAAAAAACACCTGGATTTTACCCTGATGTTCAAGGAATTGGAGAACATTCCTATTTGCTTATACTGAGTCCGACCATTGGTCCATTCAGTTGTCAGGGCTGGAGTCAGATGCAAGTCAGCACGAAGAAGCAGAGTCAGTTGCCAGTGAAGTTAACTGTTTATTCAAGGAAAGGGCATACAACTCAGCAACACTTCCCAGTAGGTCTTGCCCCTATATTCAATGGCCTATCAATGAGATTGTCCTTTCATGTTGTTGTTTCAACAGGTCTATATAGTTGCAGTACAAAGGCAGAAAAAGCAAAGCGACGTCAACAGACCACCCTTGGTAATAAACATCACAGAGGAGAGCTGCAGGGATCAAATATCTCCAGTGGATGAACTTCTGGAGCTAGTCCAAGCAGATCTGGGCAATCTGAGCAAACTCTGGCTTGCTGCACTCCAAGATTATACTCTCTTAACTTTGCCGTCAGAATTTGCCTCTCAACTTCCTGCTGAAGGTAGGCAGGCAAATAGAACAATACAATTTCATTTCATTCATTAATCTATTATATTTCTGTGCTGCTTTTCACTCACACGAGTCACAAAGCGCCTTACAAAGAATAACAATAATAGAACATCACAATTACAACATAAATCGTATAAAATAAGTAACAAATCGTCAGCAAAACAATTACAAATCAACAGTAAAACAACCACCTTCTGTAAAATACTGTTAACAAAACAACTAAAAATTAAGCTAAACATCACAAGTCATAAGATTCACAAGGCATTGTTGCACTCATAATCCACAAAATAAGATTAACAAGATTAACAAACAACCAAAAACAAACTAAGCACTGTTGAATTCACACACACATACCCTTCCCCACCCCCATGACTCAGTTCATCAAAATACGTACACATAAAATACATTCTGCAAATACATATTAACTTTGATGCCACATAATTTGGGCCTGATTCCATAAATTAGAATGTAGCCAGTAACATGTTGTCAGCAAAAAATTTAAATGAAATTTTCAAAATGTAGATGCATAAGTGATAAGATGCCTGTAAGATTGCAGAATTTAAAAAGAAGTTTACTGAAGTCATCTTTGATGATTTGTGAATATTACTTTTAAAGAATAACTAGCCAAACCTTCCTCATTGTTTAACCATAAAAAGTGTAATTAAAGTAGTAAATACAAAGCTACCTTGAGCTGTTTGGAATATGCTAAACATCTGTTGCTTTTAATTGTAGGTGGTGCTTTCTATACTGCAGAGACAATTGAAAATTCAAGACCACACTATCAAAACTCCTGGGCACTGATTCTCCATGCAACAGCATTGTGGCTTACCAGCACAGGTTTTCTTGTAGGTGACTCAGATGAAGGTCTAACTAACCTTTCTCGACCTGTCACCCCAACTACAATGTGTCAAGATTCAACATCTAGAGCTGCTGTAAAATCACCTGAAGACGTGAACACTGATAGATTTCATCTGGTTTTGGGTTAGTAAATGCATGAACTTTTCCTGGTGTTATTTTCTCATGTAATTTTTCTGATGTTGTTGGAAATCAGTATGAGATGTTAGGCACATGTCGAAGTGGTTAATATGCTACTGTTGATAAAATTCTGCATTGTATGGGATTACTACAGAATTTCACCATTATTTCATTGAATCAAGCCAGTGGTCCATCTAATTGAGCTAATTGTCCCATCTAACTGAGAACTGTTAACCCAGAATGTCAGAGGATTTGAAACTCAGTTCTCCCAGTCTCTGGGAATTGGAATTTTATTTACTTATATCTTATTTGTTAAAAGATTTCTAATCTGCCCTTCATGTTGAATGATCTCAGGGTGTATAACAATTTAAAACAAAACAAAACTGAAACATACAGTTGGAAGAGTACTAATATATACTCGTCCCAGCACAGGCCCAATAAAAATTATTTCAAATGCCTGGTGCAAAAATCTGGCACCAAAAGATGGATAAGAAGAGCACAAGTCAAATTTCAGGGGCAGATAGTTCCAAACTAGTCAATTGACTGATGTGTTATTGGAAATTCAACTCTGATTCTGTTCACAGCATAATTTCTCCCCTCTCTTCTTAGGAATTAGTGTGGAATTTCTATGTTCTCCTCGGTCAGACGCAGGAATGGAAAATATTACTTCTTGTCTACATGCCTTACGGGTGCTGCTTGATGTTCCTTGGCCAAGGTCTAAGATTGGTGGTGATCAGGTAACAATCTATTGGAAATCCTAAGTATGAATTATGAATTGTTCTGTGTTAACAATAATTGCTTCTACCTGATGTCTCCAAGAAATTGCTTCCTTCGTTTTTTCTCATCGTGATTTCTCATGACATAATGTGAAGAACGCTTGAAATAGCCTCTGTGATACATTTCACCATGTGTGTTGCTGCATTGTGTGTTCCACACTTTTCCTGTTTCCCTTTATACAGGAGCTGAGTGTTGAGCTGCTGAATGTTTTACATCGGCTTATAGTGACAAGAGAGTCCCCTGACATTCAACTTGCTGCTCTAGAAGTTGTTCGACAGATTCTTTTTGCAGCTCAGGAACATGTCAAGGAAAAACGGAGAAGTGCAGAAGGTATTGTTCTTGCTGGCATTTAACTTAATATGCTGGCTTTCCACGCACAAGGTGGCTTACATAAAATCGATCAAGGACAGTACATAAAAACACACAGGTTTCATGCTTCTCTCTTCTCTGGCTCAAATTTCTCCTGCCACCCTTAAGCAGGGCCCTTCTTATTATGTGTTAGAATTGAATAAATATCTTATGACCATGGTGGGTAAAAATAAATAAATTGCTGCGGTTCTTTTCACCGGTAGCATAATGCTAATAGTAGATTTTTAACCTGTATTTCTAATTTATTTCCATATTTGTCCTGCATTAGATTCTTTCTGAACATGGGAGCTGCGCCCATATAGGATTATTTTAGTTAGTGATGGTAATTTAAGCCATCCCTCCTTTTAATAATGAACATAGCTGTTAAGCGTAGTATGCGTCAGAATTAATATACAGTGGTACCTCAGGTTACAAACACCTGGGGTTACAAACACTTCAGGTTACAGACTGCGCTAACCTGGAAGTAGTACCTCGGGTTAAGAGGTACACCTGGTGGTGCGGTGGCAGTGGGAGGCCCCATTAGCTAAAGTGGTACCTCAGGTTAAGAATGGTTTCAGGTTAAGAACAGACCTCCGGAACGAATTAAGTTCGTAACCAGAGGTACCACTGTAGCTTGTTTTAACAGTTGGCATTCATACCCTACAAGTGAAACAACTTAACTGTTGTTTCTTTCTTCCCCAAGAACCTCACCAATTTTAATTGTGAAAGGGAGTTAAGAAAATCAAACATTCTCACCATCCTCACAAAATTACAGTTTCTAGTGTTGGAGACAAACAAAGCAAAGTAAGTTCATACAGTGCAGCTAGATGATGGAATTTGTTACCCCTTAGATGGCTTTAAAAGGGGATTAAACAAATTCATGGTGGATAAAATTACCAGCAACAACTAGTCATGATGACTAGGTACTGTCTCCGGGTTTAGAAGCAGCAAACACCTCTAAGTAGCAGTTTTCTAAGTAGAGATTGCCATTGTGGGGCAAAGAGATTGCTGGATAAAACAGGCCTTTGGTGTGCTTACACAAGTGTTCTTCTTATGTATCGAATCCTCATGCTATGGCACAGCAGTAAAACTGGGAATAAAACTACTCTGTGAATTTGTAGTACAGCTATAGGAGGAGTGAAGCTAAATTGGGAGTTGTGATGCATGTTAACATAGAGTTCTGTTTTGCAAACTATGTGTCTCCACAGCAGGAAAAATCCAAGTGCACACAGCTGAAGCAATTGTAGATTCTTTCCCTGTTGACCTCTGCTTCCATTTTCCTCCCTCTTTTGCTTCCTTTGTGTCTGTTATTAGACAGTAAGAGCCTTGAGGTAGGGACCTGCCAGACCTGTTCTTTGTAAAGCATCATCTACATATATGGCATTATTTTCATAATTAATATATGTGGCATTGCCTTTTAAATGCTTTAGAAAAGAACTCTGTGGCATGGTTTCTGCTGGGAGAACCTTCCTTTGTAAAAGCACAGGAGGTTTCTATCCCTCACGGGTGCAAGTGACTGTCCTGTTCTATTTATTTGCCTACTTTCTGAAGAACTCCAGGTATCTTAGAATTCACAGTATCAAAATAATGTGTCAGATAAAAGCAACCCTCCAAGTTAAACCCAATTTATAACACAAGCACACAACATTTACATCTGTTTCATGGCTTGGACAACCCAGCCAGATGGGCCGGGTATAAATAATAAAATTATTATTATTACTTATATGGGACCGACATTGATAAAAGTGTCCAGTTTCCTCTGGAGTTGCATGCGAGGTATATATTCTCAATGCTATTAGTTCTGACAGGACTCATTACTGGTCTATAGGAGCAAAACGTGTGCTTGAGGTTTTATTATTGGTGTTTTAATTGTATTTTGATGGTGATTGTTTAATAATGTTTTGTTGTATGGAAACCACTCATGATGGGAAAGCAGTGTACAAAAATATTTACATAAATAAAGAAGCCGCAGGTGCTGGGGCTAAATAAAAATGCCTTCAGCAGGTGCCAAAAGGAATACGATGCAGGTGCCTGCCTGCTATCAATAGGCAGGGAGTTCCATAGTCCTGGTGCGGCCACACTAAAAGATCAAGATCTTTCAGATGTGGTGCAGGTATTATGTGCCACATGTAAAAGGGCCAGTTCTCCCGATTGAAGCAGTTGCATGGGCGCATATGGAGTAAGACGATCTTGTAGGTAAACTGCTCTCCAAGTTGTTAAGAGCTTTATATACTAACACATTGAACTCAGCCTAGTAAGCAGATCAAGTGGAGACCTCTCAGCCCAGGTGCTTATATGCTGACAAGGCCTCACTCCTATCTATCGCTGTCCTTCCATTTTAGTTGATGATGGAGCTGAAGAGAAGGAAACCTTGCCGGAGTTTGGAGAAGGCAAAGACACAGGAGGACTGATACCTGGAAAGTCCTTAGTCTTTGCAACCCTGGAGATGTGTGTGTGCATTCTCGTAAGGCAGTTGCCTCAGCTGAACCCTAAGATAACGGGCAGCCCTGGAATTACATCTGGAAAACCTCAGTTGTTATCGGAGAATGGAAGCAGACTAGTTTCGGTGGCATTAGGAATCCTCTCTGATGTTCCTGCAGTCTGCTCACCAGAAGGTAGGATGCTCCCAAGATGTTTCATTTGCGAGGAAGAAAGAGGCAGTGTAGGGAGCGATCCTCCCATTCTAGGAATGCAAGCTCAATGTTTAGCCTTTTTTAATGTGCACCAGAAGCTATTTCTTCTTAACCATGATATTTTCATCGCCCCTTTGTCATATCCTACAGGAAGCATTGCCGTTCTTCCTACTATCTTGTATCTGATTATTGGAGTCCTCAGAGAAACTGCTGTGAAATTACCCACAGGCCAGTTGCCTTTGACTGTTGCTTCATCATTACAAGCTCTTAAAGGAGTGCTGTCTTCTCCCATGGCCCGGGCAGAGAAAAGCCGGACTGCTTGGAACGAATTGCTCCGCAGTGCTTTGGTCACTGTTCTTAACTTTTGGGATCAAGGTACTTATTGGCAAAACCTATTGGTGTTTCGCAACTTTCTGACTAGTTGCAGGACCTTAGCCAGACCTAGCAGAGTAAACGCAGAATCCACGGAAGCAATTGGCGACTTGGCTGCAGACAGGATAGACGAACCAGGAACCAGGAACTTGTAGTTAGGTGTTTATTATATACAGTGGACTATTTACAGAAACAGAACACGGATCTTTTGCTAGCTCTCTCTGACATGACTCACAACTCCTACACTGACACACAGAACTCTGAACCTCTGAACACTGAACTAACACATTCCAGTTAGTAGGCAATTAATTATCACTCCCTTGAGAGAGCTTGACCAATCAGGGAGCTGTCGCCATGTCTCTGTTATCACCAGGCAGACTAACTCCTTCAGATTGCCTTCTGGCGGTCTGCCAAACCTTAATTGACTCTGTATGAGTAGCTGCACGTACAGTTTCCCAACAGTACTAAGGCTGAGGAAGGTGTTTGGTCTATAACTCAAGACAGTATAAGAGTGGGGGATGAGGTCTGCCAACAATTAAATATCATAAACACCACACCAATGAGTGATTCCTAATAAGTAGTATGCAACATTCTGTCTAGTACTAGAACTGTATAGGTACAAAAAACGAAGTCTGGCATCTGAACAAGTTTCTGGTAACTGGTATGTGACAGTTGGGTTGCTGAAGAAGGTAGGGAATTGGCTTCTTCTCCCCTTATGGTGATCTGCTGCTTCTTAGACCTTGCCGCCTCCTCTACCCAGAGTCCCTACTTTGCTCTCTCAATCCCACTGCACTTTGGGCAACTTGGCTTACACACATTTCTTCCCCTTGTCAGACCCTTCTTCCATACCTGTCTTTGCTTTCTCTACCGTTTTGATGTTGTACATCTTTTTAGAGCCGAGCACCTTCTGTTCCTGCCTTCTACTCACTTTTCTTCTCTTTTTTTCAAAAGCCTTTGGATGCCACTCGTTGTTCACACCTTTCCTTCTTTTTCTCCCAATGGACTTCCCTGGAAGAATGACTTAATCAGAGTTGAGGCTTCCCAGAGCACACCTGAGTAAGGCTCAGCTCTGGAAAGATACATGGTAGTAGTAGCAGTAGTAATGTATATGAAGTTGTCATGTTAAGACAGATGACCTGTCCGGCCCATTATCCAGCCTATTTGGGCTGGCCAACAACTTTCCATGATCTTAGGCAGAGGTTTCATCGATGGCATATCCTTAACTGTAGATGACTATAAAGTTCTGAAAAGTTATCCGCCCTTGCTCTATATTGTAGCTTTTTAATAAAAAGCAAATGCATACAATTCACTGGGGAAAAAATCTGACCGAAGAGGAGGGCTCAAACATTCTTCAGCAATAGTTCATGCTGAGTAAAAGTTCTTAAGAGTATCTAATGTACATTCTTAAAAATATGTGTTTATCTGCCAACTGTGTTTAACTCAAAAATCTGTTGATTTGTGATACAATTGATCTTAGTGTCTTGATTTGTGCATTTTGATTGATGAAATGCTCCAGTTTCAGAACACAAATTTAAGATTGTTTTTAATTGGTAGATGGTGCTCATCAAGAATTGGATGAAGGTAGTCTGCTGACTGCAGTCACAATATTCATTTTGTCTACAAGTCCAGAAGTTGCTACCATGGAGTGCCTTCAGAAGTGTTGCATTGAAAAGTTTCAGTCAGCAATGGAATCTAAAGATCCTATTGTAAGTCCTGCATATTGATTTTATTGTTTAGAGCTCTACAATTGCTATGTTTTTATGTTCAGCCTTGAATGATTTATTTAGAATGCTTCTATCTCACTATATAGCCTAGGAGGCCCTCAAAGCAGCTTGATTCCCAAAATAAAAGTTCACATTCAGGTTTGGTATCAGGAACAGTAATAACATGGCAACACTATGGAGCCTGAATTATTCTGGTGAAATTTCCTGCCCTCATCCTTAGTCTTCCCTGGTGTCCACATTCAGCCTCAGCCTACTAGGCAGCAGAGCCCACTGATTATCACTGAGGCAACAGTAGGGCCAAACAGTAGGAAATCTCTCAGCCCATGATGAAGGCAAATCTTTGTCTTGCAGCTGCCTCCACCATCCGAAGAAAGGGAATAGCCACAGTGGAAAGGGTCTTTTCACCTGTCATGCATATATAGTATATAATACATCTTGTGGAAAAGCTAAAAAGTATGCTTCCTTCTGTTTGATACTGGATTGTTGTTTTTTGTATGGATCTCAGCACTTTTATTTTGATTTGGGCAACATGGAGTCCCTAACACAACCCCAGAGTTGGCCACGACTGGACCTAATGGTCAGGGGTACCTTTACCTTTTAAGTTCAGGGACGCGGGTGGCGCTGTGGGTTAAACCACAGAGCCTAGGATTTGCCAATCAGAAGGTTGGCGGTTTGAATCCCCGCGACAGGGTTAGCTCCCATTGCTCGGTCCTTGCTCCTGACAACCTAGCAGTTCGAAAGCACATCAAAGTGCAAGTAGATAAATAGGTACCGCTCTGGCGGGAAGGTAAACGGCATTTCCGTGCGCTGCTCTGGTTCGCCAGAAGCGGCTTAGTCATGCTGGCCACATGACCCGGAAGTTGTACGCCGGCTCCCTCGGCCAGTATAGCGAGATGAGCACCGCAACCCCAGAGTCGGTCACCACTGGACCTAATGGTCCAGGGGTCCCTTTACCTTTACCTTTTAAGTTCAGGATCACTGCACATAGAACAGCTTACAGCTACCAGAAAGAGGGAAAGAGTGTACTCATATATGCTGGTATCTGGCAACACACCTGCATTAATACACCTAATTTACTCTGTCTGGTCTTTTCCTGCCGTATCTGAAAGCAGATCTTGCTACTGACATTGGTGCAGTCTTCTGCTTCTGATAAATGTACTGATGCACAGGGCATCCCCCCAAATGCAGTTCAACAGTGCTCTCTAATACTACATTTTTGTGTTTTAACTTGGAATTTTCCTTTTTCTTTTTAGGTGCAACTTAAATGCTACCAGCTTCTCCTTACCATTTTCCAGTATCCAAATCGAACTATCTCATATCCTTACATTCATTCATTGGCATCATCAATTGTTTGCAAACTGCAGGAAACGGAGAAAGTCAAGCCTGAGAATTCTGCTGAACTTCAGGTTATTCAGGAAGGGATAAAAGTTGTGGCTGCTGTTATAGCTCTCGCTGAGGAGGAACATCGTAAGTGTCTTTTGTAGGGCAAAATAGACTGACATCTGGAATCAGTTGCTAATTAAAATATGTCTCTATTAATGCAATTTCAGTTGTGACAACATGTTGAGGACTCATGACAGTGCTAATCTGTTAACATTTCATCACTTGGAAACTACTTCTAAAAGTATTCTTTAAATTATTACTTAATCTAGCAAATGCATGCAGTGTTGGAAAAACCTTCTGAACACATTAACCCTTCTAGAGGCTGTGCTATGTAGAGAATGTGCACCTTAAGCAGATGCTGCCAAACTGGTGATTTGCTGTGTCATATCGGCTAGTCTGTCTTACAGTACACTCATTGCTTTGATCTACCCTGTCCCCACTTGGATGATCAGAAACATTTTCATCCTTCTCCTCATAGTTTCATTCCAAAATGGATGTTCTCCAGCTATCTGTTTCCCCCAGTTTAAAAGCTGCTGAGTCACTTTTTTTGATGTCAAGAGCAAGGAGTGGTGTGGCTCCATTTCTGTTCATGTGAGACCCTTCCCTTTTATATAGACCCAGCTTGCCCCCAAAACATGACCCAGAGTCTAACAAATCCAAATTCCTCCTCCTGACACCACCATCTTGTTCATTTGGTGAAACCCCTCAGCTTTGACTGTCTGGTTTGCCCTGTGCCTGGAATGGGTAGCACTTTGGAGAAAGCTATCTTGGACATTCTGGATTACAGCTTCCTATCTAGCAAGCTGAATGTCACATCTAGATCTGTGGTAGTTGGGGGCTCATTTTAACAGAAAGAGTTTATTGTCAGCCACATTGTGTTACTCTTCCCTAGGCAATTTTAAATTTGTGACAATTATATTAGGTTTTAAGGAGAAAGGACGTGGTAGAAGAGCAGTCAATCACTAAATACTCTCTATGATCCCACTCAATTGCTTCAGTCTGTGGAAATGGGACAGTTACAAGTGGTGCATCTTATTTGTTCTGCCCTTGTAATAAACTGGTCTTTTAGCATGGCAGCCTTGGAACTCCCTGTTGATTGATCTCAGGTAGTTGCCTTCGCTGTACAGTACTCTTTTTGGTTCCTGCTTAAAATGTTTTTGTTTATCTTGGACATTCTGGATTCCAGCTTCCTATCTAGCAACCTGCATGTCACATCTAGGACTGTAAAACGACTGACAGTATGTTCCATGACTGCTGAACTCCCTGCCAATATTGTTTAGTAGAGAGAAAAGCACACATTCATTAAGCCTAATTAAAAGTGTGTTTTTTAAACTCTGTGTTGCCGCTGTTAATGTATCAGCTAATTAACAATGGCCCTCCCTTTGCAGAGGAAAACAATTAGGAATAGATGGGGCTAACTTAGAATTATCAATTTTTGCTGTTTTGTTTTTAACCAGCTCAGTTCCATTAAAAGTCTGTGACATGATTATTCTCTATATTTTATTTATTATTTGCAACTTAAGGGCTACAAATGTCGCAGTTAAAACAAGTACAGTTATGAAAATGAAAAAGCACAAAACTAACCAATAACAAAGCAAACCAAATGGTGGCACAGTACAATGCAAGAGGAGATAAACCGCCCAGTCAGCGAAATGTCAGTGTAAATCACATATGCTAGGTTTAGTAGCCTGTAGACTATAGCCAAAGTCAAAGATACATTTTATTGTATCACTTGGGTTTTAAAATGCCATTAATAACTTTGCATTTATCTTTTTCCGTAGTTGGCCATCTCTTTGTATATAAATACTCTTTGGAGGAATTCTCTGCTTGATTCCAGATATTTGGCCTCAGAGTGCCAAAAAGGTGGGGAGGTCAGGTGGCAAGCAGCTGGAAGGGTACTTGCTACATGCAGGGAGAAGTAAAGGTTCTTCTGTCACAGTAAAGCTACTTGTTAGCCCCTTCTGAGGGCTTAAATTCAAAACCCACCCCTGCTCCCACATTGAGACTGGCCCCAGGAAGGGCACTCAGAGGGGAAAAAGCCCTGAATAACTAGTTGCAACAATGATTTTAACAGTGCAATCCACTGCATGGTTATTTAGAAGTAAATCCTGCTGGGTTTAGTGGGGTTTGCTTTTATGTTTTGAACTGCAGCCTAAATGACGTTTATTGGTATTAATCATTTGTTTTTAATTTTTCACAGGAACTCAGCTAGTGGCTTGCTTTCTCCCTATCCTTATTTCTTTTCTTTTGGACGAGAACGCCCTAGGATCAGCTACGAGTTCAGCAAGGAGTCTTCATGAGTTTGCTTTACAGTACCTGATGCAGATTGGTCCACAATATTCCTTGGTCTTTAAAAAACTAATGGCTTCTTCTCCGCCAATGAAGGCGAGGCTTGAATCGGCCGTGAAGGGCAATCAGGAAAGCATCAAGGACAAGGCAGCACCTAGGCATTCCAAGAACCCTGGGAAAAGTATTCAGCTAAAGACCAACTTTCTGTGAATAATGTTTTAAATCCGAAGCACTTTGATAAAAGATGGCAAACTGTCCCTTTTCATTTCTAGCTGTCCTTATAATGAAGTAGGGTTTTTATTTTAATTTCATTCTGCTAAACTTTGAAAATCAGCACATTATAACCCAGTTCCAGAGATGTGCATGCATGTGCCTGCCTACCTACTGACTCAGTCAGTAGTAGGTACTACATTCACAGCCATTACTGCTGTATATGGACATGAGAAACCCATAGGCTGTGTATTCACAGTTCCCAGTCCAGAAGAGGGTTTCTCTTGCTCAATCAGGGAGCAGACTTTATATCATTTTTTTTTACCATGCTACTACCTTCTTTAAGTTCTCTCTCAGCACTCTGCAGCATTCTAACCTAATGAAGATTTTATTAGATATGTAGGAACCTTGACATGCTTATTTATTTCACACTTTGATATTAGCACAAATACATCAAAGGAAATCATGTCCGATTTGTCAATGCACAATGTAACAGAATCTTCCATGCCCCCCTATATTGCTTTTTGTTATCCTTATTACTTTGTTTAGCAGCTCCCAGTGTGGAACTATCAACATTTTAAAAAACAACAACAACCACTTGTCATTTTTAAAAGCAGTTTTAAAGCAGGTTAAGCATTGAGAGCTGCTTCAGCAAAAATACTAATGAATTACTGAGTACGTGTTCACGTTTAGCTCCCATGGAGTATGGTAAATGTGCATCTTTGACCATAAACAGGAAAATTTATATATTGCGCTAGGATTAATGGCACAAAAATGTGGCTGGCTCAAGGTGGAGTGTTAATTCGGGGGCAGCTGTTGCCACCAGGGTTCCAGGTTTGGAATATCGTTTGACTAGACTCAAATACATAAATCTGGGATACTATTCAACACTAAGCCGCAGTAGTTGTTTAAAATACTAATACTGCAATCACAGTTGAAATGTAATTTTAATTCATAAATTCCTTGCAATGCTGTAACATGTTCCAGCTGCTAATTTAGCAAACGACATCATTAAGTAAAAGTATTGGATGTTCTCTTGGTCTCTTCGAATGGAGGGCGACATACAAATTTAATAAATAAAAATAAAATAATAATAGTCCATAAAAGTGTGTAAAATTACTTTCGAGTATCTTAAATCCACACATGAAGTACTATTGGGGACTTTAAGTTCTCATGACTGTAATGAAGCTCCACTTATTATCTGAAGGATTTACATTTCCAAAATTAAGCACATATACTTATGATTGAACATACCTTATACTATCCAGAAAATCCCACCTAGGCAGGAAATATCTTCTTAAATTTATCATGCTAAAGAGGTGGTTAAAGCTTTCATATTTTGTTCAGAATATGAAAACTGCTCTGATACACAGTTTTTCTGCATAAGATACCTCATTCTCTATCATGATCATTTGATGATCTCCCCATGGGCAAATTTGATGTATCAACTCAGATGCATAGGAATCAAAGGGAGATTTATTAAAGTGGGCTTGTATTGTATTCAGTTGCAAATGAGTCATTGGAATAAACAAAACGTTACATCTTAGCAGTGGATTGTATTTTAGTATAGAAGTCTATACTAATAGCGTGAGCTATTAATTGTTTTAAGAATTGTATTGGCAACCATTGCCTTTTTGTGCCAGTATTATCTGAAATAAACCAAATGCTAGGATAATTACAGTATTTCCATCTAATAATTAGTAGAAAAATAAAAAATATCATCCATAGAACTGAGACTCAGGAATGTGTACTGTATTTTGCTATACATTTTGTATATAAAATTGTAAATTGTACAGAATTGACCATTTGAACAAAATTCTAACAAGTCATTTTTCTAATTTACATAAAGCTAATTGTCTTCACTTAAATTGGTGTGCTTGCTATTTTATTAATAAAACCTGATTTTAATTTTTTTAAAACTACAACCCTTGTCTTAAGTACATTTTTAAACAAGTTGGTCTCTTAAACTATTACTTCTGTTCCTTCCCACATTTGGGGTACCCTGGCATTCAGCTTCTCTATAGGCTTATTTACAGTTAACATTTGCCCTGTTCTTTCCAAGCAGAATCTTTTAATGCTCTGTGCCAAAGCTTTTTAATAAATAAATAAATCCCCCAGGCTTTCCCCATGAAAACCCACTCTTTAAAGCTGAATCAGAGCAAACATCAATCCGTGTTTTCCATTGAAGTTTGCTCCTATTGAGCTTTAAAGAGCAGGTTTTCACAGGGAAAGGAGAAAAAAAAACAGGGTGCTCAGACACAGCTTTAAATTGCGGACTGTGCCTGGAAAGAGTGGAGGAAAGGTAAGTGTGGATAAATGTGCTTTATTTAGAATTAAAATGTTACTAAGGAAGTATTCTTCAATATACGGTAAGTGTACCGTATTTTGAACATCTTGGTAGAACTTTCTGTAGGCTTTGAAATCGGCCAATTGTGGCTATTGGTGGTATAACTGTGAATTTGTAAGAAGTGGATGTACTGGACAGCAGTCTTTTACAAGTAGAGCATAAAGGGAACAACTGTTCTTAGCACCTGTTGTTCAGAGTTAGTATAGTATATCTAAACATGGATATTTCATTCATTTACAGATTGGTACCCCTCTTTTCTAGTGTTCTCAAAGCAGCTCTCAATGTTCATAAAACACCATGGCTGCATTAAAAACCCTGTTTTTAAAACAAAACCAGACCAGCTGGAGCAGGCACTTTGAGGTCTTCACCTGCCTGTCCTGGTCCTTCCTACAGGTTTTTGATGGGTTTGTGCTGTGGGAGGGAGATGGTCCAGAAGAAGCAGAGGTCTCAGGGTGTCTGCCTGTCTCCCTCTGATGGATTTATCAACAGGTATTTCTTTAATGGGACGCGGGTGGCGCTGTGGGTTAAACCACAGAGCCTAGGACTTGCTGATCAGAAGGTTGGCGGTTCAAATCCCCGCGACGGGGTGAGCTCCCGTTGCTCAGTCCCTGCTCCTGACAACCTAGCAGTTCGAAAGCACAAAGTGCAAGTAGATAAATAGGTACCGCTCCGGCGGGAAGGTAAACGGTGTTTCCATGTGCTGCTCTGGTTCGCCAAAAGCGGCTTAGTCATGCTGGCCACATGACCCGGAAGCTGTACGCCTGCTCCCTCGGCCAATAAAGCGAGATGAGCGCCCCAACCCCAGAGCTGGTCACGACTGGACCTAATAGTCAGGGGTCCCTTTACCTTTACCTTTATTTATTTAATAAAGTTGCTTAACTTGTTTAAGGCCATCCATTATCTCCTCACCACCACCACCTTTTGAAGACCTCTCATATTCTTCTGGCATAGGTTTTCAAGAGTCAAAGGGCACAGTCCTTCTCAACATACACAAGAAACCACCAGATCCCTATATCCAGTTGATGTTCACAGATGATCCACTTTGTTCTTGGAAGCAGTGCAACATATTAGAGCAGAATTAAGGATTGATAAGAAATTATTTGAGGCATAATAATAATGTAATAATAAAAAAATTGATTTACAACTCCTCTCCCACATCATGACTTGTGCTGTCGTAGCTGCTGGTCTCATTTGTAGTGTCCAAGAGCAGGAACTGCAGAGGCAGCTCAGAAAATGCTCAATGGGAAAATCCAGAAATGGCATCTACACGCAGAACATTCTTTTTTGCATAAGAAATACCCAGAAGATGAAAGCCTCTTTTCAATCACTAAATTGGAGCAAAAGTATATTAACATGAGAAAAACCCACTGAATCAGGCCAATGGCACATCTAATCCCATATCTTGTTCCTCACAATAGCCAACCAGATGCCTGTGAGAAACTCGCAATGACAGGAGTAAAGGAAATGGTAACGGGACCCCTGACCATTAGGTCCAGTCGCGGACGACTCTGGGGTTGGGGCGCTCATCTCACTGTATTGGCCGAGGGAGCCGGCGTACAGCTTCCGGGTCATGTGGCCAGCATGACTAAGCCACTTCTAGCGAACCAGAGCAGCACATGGAAATGCCATTTACCTTCCCGCCGGAGCGGTACCTATTTATCTACTTGCACTTTGAGGTGCTTTCAAACTGCTAGGCTGGCAGGAGCAGGGACCAAGCAACGGGAGCTCACCCCGTCGCGGGGATTCGAACCGCCAACCTTCTGATCGGCAAGCCCTAGGCTCTCTGGTTTAGACCACAGCACACAACTTGCCATTTCCAGCAGCTGATATTCAGAAGCAGAGCATGAGACACTTAATCTCAGGGTCGTGGGTTTGAGCCCCACGTTGGGCAAAAGATTCCTGCATTGCAGGGGGTTGGACTAGATGATCCAACTTTACAATTCTGTGATTCTGACAGAGGGTGTAGAACAAAACCATTGTGACTTTTAAAGCCATCCAAGTTGTTATCTATCACTGCCTCCTGTGGGAGCAAGTTCTGTAGTTTATAACTATGTGCTACATGAAGTGTTTTATCTGTCCAGAATCTTTATTACAAGTAGTTTTCACTCATATTTTGTAAATTTATGTGAGCCTACAGGAGAAGACAGGAAACTGATTTAGTTAAGCTGGTTCTAGGGTATAGGTAATTATACTGAATGCATTTAGGAAGAAGATACCATCTCAGTTCCAGGGAATTTAGAAAACTGCCATGCCACCTCTTAAAAATTAAGTGCAGCATAAAGTCAAGTATAAACAACTTGCACTTTTTATGTAACCACTGAAGTTAAAAAGCAACTTCCTGCCTTTATTTTGCTGTGCTTGCTCATCCCTCCTAATGAGTTGCCATAGATGTTAACTACAGGATGTTGGTTCAGTTATCAAGAGACATAATTATAACAAACAATTCATTGTTATATTTAGAACGTGTGGGATCTGCATTAGTTTTCACATATGGGGGGGGAAGAGAATTTCTATGCAGTAAATATATTAGCAGTGGAATGAAATTTTTCATTTTTAAGGCCAATTAAATATTTATTTAATTACAGGTTACAAAAAAGTGTTTCCTTTCAGTTTCTTTCAGTGGTTGTACAAGTTTGTGTAATTCTTGACTCCC